GAACTAAATGACTGTTTTATCATGGTAAATTGTTCATTTATTATGGTATTTCATCTTTCTCTGGCATTAACATTATATCCATGTTATAACATTAATCATTTTCTTCTTTTATGAGGGACACTTTATCACCTTCTGATGTTCACAATGATATCTTGGATCTCATTGGTAGAGAATTGATCTTCAAGATCGAGTACTGCAGAAATAATGGCATGACAGCTTATAAGGAGTACGACAAAATCATGGAATCTGTAGATCGTAGAAATGGGGGTTTCTACTTTTTATATTGTACGAAGGAACTGGGAAAACATATCTGTGGAAGACTTCGTCTGCAGTAGTGAGATCTCATGGTGACATAGAGCTTAATGTGGCTTCCAGCGGTATAGCATCACTTCTCTTACTAGGAGGAAGGACTGTTCATTCGAGATTTGCGATTCCACTCAACGTGACAGAAGACTCGATGTGCAATATAAAACATGATAGTCCATTGGCCAAGCTCATCCACTTATCCAAATTGATTATATGGGATGAGGTGTCGATGACACACCGACACTGTTTCGAGACTCTTGATAAGGGAGTATGAGAGATGTGCTTAAATATTCCAGCCATTGTCAAGCGAGTTTGGCTTTTGGTGGAAAGGCTATTGTATTTGGTGATTACTTTAGGCAGATACTTCTTGTGATTCCAAAAGAGGCATGAGACAAGATATTTGTGCACGCAGCACTAAACAACTCATTTCTCTGGTCATTCTGTATCGTAGTGAAACTATCTAAAAACATGGAGGGTGAGCCTGATGGACCAGCAATCCAATCTTTTGCGGACTGGATTTTAAAGATATGAGATAATACTTTTGCAGAAAGTCGAGATGGAGAATCGCTCATTGAAATACCGGATGATATGATTGATCCAATGACATTTGATCCGGTTGAATCTATTGTTCACAGTATTTATTTCAACTTCTTGACTCAGAGTGATCCAATTGCTTATCTTTATTCTAGGGCTATTCTTGTTCTGACCATAGATGATGTTTGACGTGCACTTTGTCGTGTGTGCACTCAAAATAAATTCAATACTAACACTTATACGTAGTATAGCGTAGTAGAGTTCGTATCCACAGGGAAAGGAAATAATTCTCTTTTTATAAAACTAGTAAATAAAAGGGGGGTTTTAGGATTGAGTGATTTAATTTGATTAAACACAAAGATGAACAACTTATATGTGATTTAATTCAAAGATAAAAAGGACCTGGCATTGCTACTTTCCACTTGTTGATATATTTTAGTCGATCATTGTTATATCTATAACTTATCCCCTCTCGAATACTCAATCGAGGAGTATATCCAATTCATCGAGGGTAGTTATTAACAACGACCGTTCATTAATAACTCTTACTATTAGTCAAGTATAGAACACCGCCATATACCGACTTAATAGTAGCATTTAATCTCTTAACTCCTTGATGAAATCAATTGAGATTGATAACCTCAACACAACGGTTTCGGTTTAACCAACAAAATTAATCCCTCTTAAGTTTATTAACCACGACCGTGCATTAATAGACCGAAGTTACTTGTGAAGCCATCAACGATTAACCATCGGTTCGTTGATCGTTTCTAGTAGTAATTAATGTCGAGATGTTAACTAATTGTCATCTTAGCAACACTCCCCAACATTAATATAGAGATAGATTAAGGGAAGAATTAATATTCAAGGAAGAAGATTAAATATGAATAATCCTACTATAACTAATGTCAAGATGTTATCTAATTGTCATCTTAGCAACACTCCCCAACATTAATATATAGAGGAAGAAAATAAATACTACTATAACTAATGTCGAGATGTTAACTAATTGTCATCTTAGCAACACTCCCCAACATTAATATATAGATAGATTAAGAGAATAATTAATATTCAAGGGAAGAAGTTAAGAAAATAACTCACAACTTTAATAATCAACAAGCTTCAAGAGCAACACCAAGAAATGGAAGTTTAGCTCCTCATTTGGAGACTAAACATGCTATAAAAATATAAAAGAAATACTATTCTAAACTGAGCTTAAGAGTATGGAAGAATGAGTTCCCATTTGTGAAGGAAAATGGGGTTATTTATAGGTGTTTTCAACACCCTGGGGCATTGACCCGCCCGGGTAAAAGGACATACCCGACCGGGTCAACGTCAAAATCAAATATTTCCCACGTTCTGGCGATCTTCGGCATGTTCTGGTGTTCCGGGTCACATCTGACCCGACCGGGTCAAATAAGTGACCCGCCCGGGTCTAGTGACTTTCTCAGCAGTTTCTGATTCTTTGTCATACCCGACCGGGTGAAGTATTATACCCGGTCGGGTTTTTGCTTCTGGGCAGCCAAATCTTATTTTTCTTCACTTCAAAGTCCTCCTTTTCAACACCCTAATTCCTAACTCTACTTTACAACTTACAAATGAAGATTAAAATACAATTACAACTAAAATCACACAAATGTTTACAAACTAAATAAAACGGTAAACAAACCACACAAATCAAACATAAAAACATACACTTATGCACTACTAATTAGTGCATATCAATGTTGATAAAGTCAACGATTACATGTTGAGTCATATAGATTCGGAGTTTAAAACGTATCTAAGCTCAAATTCAGCTTCTTCACTAGTTCCAATGGTAATCTCTTACATGAGATACATTCTCTCGAATTTATTAATAACATTAAATGATGAGGTTTGTTGAGTCATGAGCTAAAGCTAAAAGTGGGGTTTCCTGTGATGCTTATGAGGAATATAGATCATTCATTTGGATTGTGTAATGACACACGACGTTGGTTACTAAACTTGGAGATCATATTATCGAGACTCAGATGATGCACAGAGAAAATGCTGGTGAAAAGTTTCTTATTCCCCGACTTATTTAACACCATCAGACGTTAGACTCCCTTTCACTTTTGAGCGCAAATAGTTTTCGTTAATGGTTAGCTATGCAATGACCATTTATAAGAGTCAGGGACAATCATTGGAAAACGTAGGCATCTTCCTTCGACGGCCCGTTTCTACGTATGGACAGTTGTACATGGCGGTCTCGAGAATAAAAAGTACATTTGGGTTGAAATTTGTCATATGTGATGAAGATGGACAAGCAAGAAAGTCTGCATTGAACGTTGTGTACAAAGAAGTTTATAATAATTTATAATTTTTTTGACAATTCTGTGGACAAACATGCACACCTATTTACGATACCGTGATTAATATTTAATTTTCAGCATTAATTTTTAATTTCATGTTAAACATGACTTCTTATTTTAACTTATGTTTTCAATTAATTGATTCACTATCAACTTTTTTCTTACTTATTACATAATTTATCTAAATTCGTATGAAACTACTTCAGTCCCGTGCAACGCACGGGTGGGGTAACTAGTTGTAGTATAATTTTATGCCTATAAATACTTCTTGTAAATACCATGAGGGGGACGACGGTTCACATAACATTCCCAAATTCTCCACCCAAAAAAAATGATCTATTTGAAATTCAACTTTTATTATTATTATTCTTGATATATAGTATATACTACGGTATGATGTATTACGTACTTATAACTCTCATTGATTATATTAATGTTCAACAACTAGTCCAATAGTGTTATAATTCGCTGAGCCCAAGATTGTTAAAAAAAATCAGTCTGGTAGCTCTACAACTCCAACCCTTAATTAATTAATCAAATAATTCCTTAACATAAAATACAAAAATGAGTATTTTATACTTCATTGCAATCTATCACTTGAGAGTGAGCCAATTAGATGAAGTTCAAACCAATATCAAGTTCATGCTCAAATGGTCATATTTACCACCCTAATGTTAATGATATATGTTATAAATTAATATAAAAATATTAAACTAAAAAGGAAGTATAAATTCAAGTACCAGATTAAAAGATGTAATTAAACACCATATTTGAAACCATTTAAAAGAGAATCCCATGAGAAAGATAAAAGTGAGAAAGGATATCTTGAAGTAATTCAACTTCACTTTTCAATGATGTCAATGAATGAACAAGATTACAAAGGAAGAATATCCTCAAGCTTACACATTTTCTCATTAAGGAACTCTTCTTGAGATCCTTGCACAAGCTACACAACAATAAAAGCTTCACCATTAGCAACTATTTAAACATAATCAAATTTCCATAAACAGTATGTCATTACTAATTAATGGAAACCAAATAACCAAAAAACCAGAACACCCGATGTTATAGAAACAATTTTTCGGTTTTAACTTTGATGTAGAACCCCCAATGTAATAGATATATACGTAGAAGAAACCCAGAATCAACAATATATGTAGTCATTTATCAACAATGACTAAATTTGAAATTTCATTGGAAAATTGGTGCTCCAAGGGAATTTTTTTGATATAAACATGTCAATGTGAAATCAAATTCATGCTCAATTGAAAAGTAAATAAAAATTTAAGAACAAGAATTTGCTCAATTGGCTAAAATTATATACATTGGCATATCAAATAAGACACTCACAGTAACTTTTGAAGAAAGTATTCATGCAGTCCAAACCTAGTGAGTAAAAATGAGCCAATTATGCTCAATTGGTTAAAACTTAGTGAAAATTTTGGTTTAAACCATGTATCCTTAATAGGTGAGATAATGTTTCACTGAGCCACTTACATGCAGTCCAAAAAAAAAAGACAGCACCTAAGCATTATTCATGTAGTATATAATCAATATCATGCAAAACTATAGTTAATAAAATAGTTTGAGTAAATGATACCTCTAATTCTCAAGGGCAGATTTGAAGTTCTTCACTTGCACGTTGGAGGCGAGCTTATGTCAAACTGGAAAGGACATTTATTATATGTGAATATTAAAAAGTATATGAATGAAAAGTATGGGAATACATGAATCAAAGAACGAATTCATACCCTTGTTAATTTTGAATTGCAGTGTAACCTGCAAATGTATAATCAATCTTTCTTTTATTCATCCCAATTACAATAGGTCCATCAGCCTTATGTGAAATGGCATTACCTCCATGCATGATAGGATCCCAAGATGAACAGGTTCTTCATCTCATTCGGTTTGATATTCGATTTTAAAATGTCAGAACCATAGGACTAGTGTAACTTCTATCTCATAACTTTCGTATTTAATGTGTCTCCTTAACGTGTAAGGTGCTGTTCTGTTCGTCTTAATCTTATTACTTATTGCTTATTCTTATTTTATTCAGATCAGATCAGATCAGATCTGAAAAATTCAGATCAGATCAGATCAGATCAGAAAAATTCAGATCAGATCAGAATCACTCAGATCAGATCAGAAAGATTCAGATCAGATCAGAAACATTCAGATCAGATCAGGAACATTCAGATCAGATCAGGAAGATTCAGATCAGATCAGAAAAGTTCAGACATGATTTATCCTTTTTATTATAATAATAATAATAATAATAATAATAATAATAATAATAATAATTATAATAATTATAATTATTATTATTCTTGTTGTTGTTATTGTAATTAGTATAATTTATATTATTATTGATATTATTATTATTAGTATTATTATTATTATTATTATTATTATTATGATATTTATTATTATCATGATTATTATTATTCTTACTATTGATATGGTTGTTGTTATTGTTATTAGTTTTGTTTTTGTTTTTATCATATTATAAGGAATACTTACAATTAAAATTATAGAAATAAATATTATAATTATAATTAAAATTATAATTATAGAAATAAGTATAACTGTAAATATAATTACAATTATAATTATAGCTATATTTATAACTACTGTAATATGTATAATAATAATTATACCTATTATAATTATGTTTGTAATTATAATTGTAATTTTTATAATTATGATTATAATTATAATTATAATTATATTTAAATTATATATGTGTAATTGCATTTATAATTAGAAAAAATGGCTTAGATATTACTTCCGGAGTTTGGTTAGACAAAAATATGCTTGATTTAAATCTGGACAAAAAAGTGAATAAAAAAGAAACCATCCGCCTCTCTCTCGACATTTCTTCTTCGCAGAATCGCAGGCTACTTCCTTTCTAGCCAACAGACCTCGCAAGGCTTCTTCCTATTTACCCAACTGATCGACTACCTTCTTCTTCGCCGCCTTTGTTATTCCGCCGCCGCCGACCTGCCGCAACTCTCCCCCTCCTCCTTCTCTATTGATTGCAACTGAACTCGACCTCCTCCTCCATCATCCTCGATGACCGTGCCTCCACTGAAACTGTCGTCCTCGATGGGAGACGCCTTCTCCAGTGCCGGATTCGGCTTCCTCGGTAGCTGACGACTCGTTTTGGGGCCTCCAAATCTGGATCCGTCGAGCTCGGTGACAACCACTCCGATTTGGCACAGCAAATGCCGAATCCGCCGTCCTCAATGTTGGGGGTTGGGGTTGGATGAGGATCCGGTGCGTAGTGGGGATCTGGTGCGCAAGGATAGTGGTTAGGAGTGGGGCTAGGGGCTGGGGATCTAGTGTGTTGCCTTTGACAATTTGGGACGGACTGGAAGCAAGGCGTGGCTGGTGGAGTTGGTGTGCGGCATTGCTAGGTCGGGATCGGGGTTAGGGCATTTCAGATATGGTTTGGTCGGAGCAGGGGCTGGGGAGGGTTGGAACAGGGCAGTCCAGTCGTAGTTAAAGCTAGGGAGGTGGTTGGGCAGGTCGGGGGCGGACCTATATGGTACTAGGGGCTATGGAGGGGGTTTGCGGGCTGGGGAGGGGGTGGCCGGAAAGTGGTGGCGGTGGATGGAGTTAGCGGGCCAGTCACTTTGTCGGGTGGCAGCTACAGTGACACGGGCGGTGGCTACAGTGACATGTGCGGTGACTATAGTGACATAGGAAGTGGTTACAGTGACATCGGCAGTCACTTTTTTGACTTTTTGAAAAATGGTCACATTTGAGGAAAATGGCTTTAATATAGTAATATTGAAGGCAAAATCCCTTATAATTATAGTAATTATAATTGTAATTATAATTTTAGAAATATTTAAATCAGATCAGATCAGAAAAATTCAGATCAGATCAGAAGGATTCAGATCAGATCAGAAACATTCAGATCAGATCAGGAACATTCAGATCAGATCAGGAACATTCAGACCAGATCAGGAACATTCAGATCAGATCAGAAAGATTCAGATCAGATCAGAAAGATTCAGATTAGATCAGATCAGATCAGAAAAAATCAGATCAGATCAGAACTTAAAAAATTCAGATCAGAAACATTCAGATCAGGTGAAGAGAACAGATTCAGATTACATCCGCTATCAATGGTATTTATTTGTTAAGGAATTTATTTCAAATACGCCCTAAGAAAGTCTGACTTCCATGAATTTTTTGATGGGCTTGAAGCTTGAAGTCCAAATCGATTCATGTGGTCATTCTCTTAGTGGTCTTGGATCTCCCTGCGCAGGCCCCTGTGACTGACTCGTTCGTTCTTAATTATTACAAGCCTTTTTCACTCCAAATTGGGCTGATAAGAAACTAATCACAGTCCATTTTAAAAACATCCGGATCCTAAAATTGGGCATGCATCCTCATCTTATTTAAATCTAGATGTATAGGGAGTACTAACTAATTAGAGAATAATACGGAGTAATTGAGAAATTACTCTCTCCGTCTCGCAATTAAGTTTACATTTTGACTGCACACAAATTAAGAAAATAAATTTAATTTTACTGTGGAGTGCACTGTTTTGTGCTGTTTAAACACTGTTTGACACTGTTTGAACATTGTTTTACACTATTTTGATGTAGATAATTTGTCAAATAAGGAAGGTTTTGAAGTAAAATTGGTTCAATTTGAATAATGTAAATGTTTCGTTGCATCTATTAATGCTACTAGTGGTTGAAATAAAATTGGTTCTTAATTTGAAAATCGGGTAAGATAAACACAATTTATAGTGTTTGAGTAAGACTGAAATTAGGAAACTACTACAAGTATAAATATATTCCCAATCCGCGCCGTAGAAACCCCTGCATGATCGATTTCTTTCAGCCGAAGGCACATGTGAACAATCCCCTACTTGGTATTTGGTAAGCCTCCATCTCTCCACGCCTAAGTAATGTACGTACTACACCGCCATATCTAAACCCCATCTGTATAATTATAAATAATTCATCAACAATATATATATATATAACTAGTTTTGTGTCGCGCGATGCGCGAATAGAATAATGCCCAATACCATCTATATGCAAACCGCTAAACATTAACATATTCTTTTGATTAGGACAATTGATTTACAATACATTGCACATATTGATTTGTAATTGTCCAAGTCAAAAATTGTCATTGACCGCGCGAATATGCATTTATATGATCATTGATGGGTACAAATGTACATTAATGGTTGTCACAAAGACTTTGAAGTGACTAAATCATTTACTACCTAGCTCCGTCCCCCTAAGTTTGGGACAAGAGAAGATGACACAGTTATTAATAAAAGTGGGTTTATGTGGTTGATATTGAATTGGTTAAGTAAGAATAAAGTAAGAATGATTTAGAACCACACAAATTTTACTAAATAAGGTATGAGACAATCTTAGTGGGACGGACCGAAAAGGTAAAATGGGACAATCATAGCGGGACGGAGGGAGTATTTAATAGATTATAGATTGACTAATACACATGTTGGCGATGTAGGAATAAACTGTTACTCGGTATAAAAGAATTGAATATTAATGAAATTAAATAAACAGTGTCCCAATTAATGGTACCATTTCCATCAAATTAACACATGAATGTAAATTCATTGATAGCACGCAGTCACACAGAACTGCAGAAGCAATTCGAAATCGAAGTATGGTTAGAAACTTCAACGGGATCTCCGAGTTTCTTGTTGGGCAATAAACATAGAGAAATTACAAGCACTATAATTGTTACATAACAAAACATGACCATCAATTATACTTTGAAATTTGAAATCCACTTATGGAAATAAGAACCAACTATATACCTCATTACAGTGTTTTCCCGACACTTTATTTTGGCCTTTCCAACCAAGTCACTAACTTTTCAGTTGTATATTTTGCTCTACATATTATATGCTGGTTGGTTGCCCATCTGAACACACTTAAAATGCCTGTGTTGTAAAATTTGTTGAACTCATACAATAAGTACAGTAATCAGCATACATGTGTCAAGGGCTACACAATTGTCATGTTATTCATTTACATAAAATTAAAATGGGTCTAGTTTATTTAAGTATTTCAAATCAACTAATAACAATGTCAAGAGGCAGATTTTAGGAATTATCAAAACTAACAATGACAACTCAAAGATTGGGCGATGACAGTTAATGCAAAGAAAAGTTTTCAACTGCTTATATATTGTAAACACACTTGCAAAATATATGAGCACCTTTTGGATTATTTTAGTTATAAGCTTAACGGTGAGTCTCAAAACTGGTGTAACATAGAAGGGGGCAGGGAGTAACACTTGAGTCAAAAATGATATTCATATTCCTATAGTCGTATTTGATGCTTTATATGCCCAGAAAATGAGTTAGATTTAAAGACGTCCACAATATTAGATCAGGCGTGCCTTTTGTAATTTTGTATGTCTGCAGAAACATGAGAGAGTAAAATCATCTTATCCTACAGGGATTCTTATGAAATTAGTATTGGTGAAAAATTTTGGAAAAAAGGAAAAAAGAAAGATAATTGGAGTACTAATACCTCCGAATTTGGATCGGTACTAATACCGATCTAATTCCATATATGAGTGAAAAGATAAGTATCTAATTCAACAGTAACTCTATTGCTTCTCTTCTACATGATGCAAAAATGCAGAAGCGGAAACGATCACAAAGTACCTCAACATAACAAACTACAATTACAAACATCCTAGAAATATGCTTTCACACGGTGAGAAATTATTTTCAAATAACAAAAAGGCAAAAGAAGATGAACTGCCTGCAATTATTTAATTGGGATTTAACCAAAGCGCCTAACAATAAAACTACCTAACTTGTTGTTTCTCTAAGCTTGGCTAAGCACTACTAAGTATAAATCTAGAAAACTTTTAAGGGTACAATGAGGGTGAGTAAAAACCTACCAAAAGGATCATTTTAAGTTCTGTAATATACAATAACAGAAAAATGTAATCAGGAAATAGAGTTTATCAAATTCCACTAACGGCAGAACTACAACACTTTATAGAATCACAGTATATTGCGGAGAACAACTTTCACCCGAATATTCTGTAATCGAGTAAAAAAGTTGAATAAAAAGTTAAAAACATGAACAAATAATGCAGAAATGGGTATAAGCCTTACCGCAAGAAGACTGATCACTAACGATCAATTCCTTTGTTGGATTCGCTGAAAGGTTAGCTTTCTCACGCTTCCTCGTTCGCCATATATATGAACACCTCGAAAAAAAAAACTCTAAGATTTCCATAGTTAAATTAGAAAAATATGAGCGAGGAAAATTAATACTACTTCAAGTTAAAGTATTACCTAGAAGCACCAATAGCAATAGAAACCCAAAAATATGCAGGTGTAAAAACTTCTGATCGGTCTTTGATAACCAAAGGTTGGGGAAGAAGGCCGAAGATGCCTTGGCCAAACTTATTTGTGAGTGGGAAAGGGAACATGGCAATACAAGAAATGCTAACACATAAAACATCATTTTGACATATTCACAAACATGTACGGAGTAGTATGTTTCAAAGATGTTTAATTATTTCTATCAAATTATACAATCTGAGCCAAAATATTTAGTTGGAATGCAGTCAAACGATAGCACAAAAATCATATCATAAAAGTATAGAGAACGAAAGTACCAAGCAATCGACGACACGGGAAAGGATTGGATCGACACCGCGACTTCAACGACTTCAATTTGTACGTGCATCCAGATATAGAGTTGAGAGGTAAACCTAGAGGCAGTCATGAATGGATATATACCAAACATGCAAACTCATATGGCTCCATAACTACCACTTCACTAAGGAGAGCCTGCAAACACAGGAAGAAGAATAGCGAATACGAAGTTTAATGTGTGAAGATGAGACAACTTTTTTTAAGGAAGACAACTGGTTAACTTAAGGGGGAGTGTCCTAATTTGGATTTAATTGGAATTTAGAATTCCGTGGGAACAATTCAGACTCTAAAGGATTCTTTCTAATACTCTAGTCCTCAAATATTTCATCGGTTTTTATTCCGGTGGATTTGGGTTGATTTTGGTGGAATTCTAAGCTAAAAATAAGAATAAATCATTCTAGCAACATTCCCACCTTCCCTCCTCGGATTTCAGAATCAAGCCACCCTAGATTCGTTCCATTCATGTCTTGCTTGAATAATTGTTGGTTCCGCTTGCCGGAGGGAAGAAGTTTGCTGCCTGGAACTCAGAAGGGCCATCTTTGGTGTTTCTTTCAGACATTGGTGCTGCTGATTCCATCTGAGCCTGAACCTTCTGCTAGGTTAGGGAAATCCGATAGAGATGAGAAGGCAGATCACGGTCCTCCATGACAGAGGAAGAGTTGTGTCGCCGTTAATTCCTTCTGGATTGGTTCGGTTTGTTCGTCCTATGGCGAAGCCGATGACTGGACTGCTGCCCTTGTGCGATGAAGATGACTAAGGACAGCTTACCATTTGGCTTGACGTGCAGGACAGCAGGAGGCTACTTCTCTTTGAAATCCGTTGAAATGTACCAGATGTAGATCCATAAAATCTATCGATTAAGCTGAAGTCTCTTACAATGTTTGACACTCCAGTTGTTCCTTGTTAGAGTGTGATGGCCTAGTTTCCAATGTAACCGTCAAGCAGACGGAAAATAAAGAGACGAAAAAAACAATGATAAATAACGGAAGACGATAAAGTCTAGTTCTAATTAACGGAAGCCACAAAGTACATGAGAGATAAACATGAACCGCACAACACTTAAAGCGTAATTTACAAATTAATAATGCTATAGAGTTCTACCAACAAAATTTCCATACCAAAAAGGGTATTAACCCTTATTCATCCTTATAAGATTGTAGAGATGAAAACTTGAACAACCATTTTTTATCCATTGCCAGGCCATTTTTATAAATTATAATCGAGGCGACTCGATCGATCTCTTTCAGCTAGCGGGAAGCCCGGCCTTTCAAACAAGTATTGGTGATCGAGTAAGTTCATTTTTTCATCCTATCGAATATCGATCTATATATACATGAATCACTGACTAATCATTATAATTGGGTTTAATTAAATATAGTTTTTAGTATATTAATGAAAGCTTGATTCTTTTATATATATGAAATTCGAGTGATTATGTGTGTATGGGTGGATGTACATGGAAGCTGCAAACGTGATTTGATAACGATGAACCTCATTTTTTAATGAGAAATTAAAGCATTATACATATATTGCGCGTGTTTGACATTTAACGATCAGTAGATTATGTTAACGAGTTGTCAATTGCGAATTCACTTAGCGGGTTGAATAAGATGACAGGTTGTCAAACGATCTTTGATAATTTAGTTGTTAGGCCATAAAATTAATTGAGAACGTTGATTCATTTCAGCGTTTCTGCCCAAAAACGCGCTAGTGCCGAATAGCTATTTAGTATTTACCAAATAACTTTTCTCTTATTAAAAACGCTAAAAATGATCAAATTGTCATTTTTCAACTGAAACGATCAAAATAATTAATTAAAATAATTTACTCCTTACGTATCAATCAACTGAAGTTTCTATCGGGAATGAGTACTTAATGAGGTTATAATAAATCCACCTTAAATACGGATTACTACCTACTTCCATACCACCACAATATAATGATGTGTTTCTCGACCTTTCGTTCTCTTCTGCCATTAATCTTGCACGGTGCCAAATTGCCAATATGGGATGATTTAAATTTAGATACACATAAAAATTACTAATCACATCATATGTAATAAGTTGAAACATCTCTCTTTATTTGAACGGTTGTATTCTTTTTAGTGAGTTTTTCTTCATAATATCAAGGACAATATTGTGTTCGACATTGTTGACGAAAACCTACCAAAACTCATAAGACCGTAGAAAGAAGGGAAAACATTTCGTGAATGTATTAATTCTTTTGTGATTATATCGCTCATGTCACATATACACTATGCACATTGTAGCATTCGAAATACTCCTATTTTAATATCCTATTTTAATATGTGATATACTTAAACTAGTCCATCAATCTAAAAACATTCAGAAGACATAGATTTGTATATATCATCTAGTAAATTAAACAATCTTATCTAAAACTTAATATTACTGGTAATATTTAATACTCTTTACTATATAGTAGTACAAGATAATTTCATGTTTGAGATAAATCTTGATATAACTACGTATTATCAAATATTTTAATTATTAATTATTGGATAATATTTAACTTATCACACGCTCATTAATCTACTATAAATTGAGGTTTTGATGAAAAGCATATTCTCGACTCAAACCAATCCATTCCGGCTCAAATAGTAATTTTGTAATTTTGGGCATAAAATAATAAACCAGGTCGCACCCTTCCTATGCCAGCTCTGAATAATCCTTGCACACTAGGAGACATCGCTAGCATCTACTACGGGTACTAGTAGCTAAGAGAAATGGTAGACGTACACGTTTTGTGTACACGTTTGGTGTACACTTGTCTGTCTTTCATAGACAAATTCTCTGTGACAGACAATTTGGTCTATGACAGACAATTTATCTGTGAAAGACAGACAAGTGTACACCAAACGTGTACACAAAATGTGTACCTCTAACATTTCTCAGTAGCTAATATGTACTTCCATCCCACAATACAATGCTCATTAAAGTTGGATTCAAGTTTTAGGGAAAAATAAAAAAGATATACAGAGCCTCTTTGGTGATTCTGTTTTTCGGGTTATCAGACTTATCAGCCAACTTTTTAATCAAACACATAATTTTAGATTGCGCGCACTGGGTTATGTAATAATACGAAAAGGTAAGGTTGAAGTTACTTTTGTGGCTGTATTGGCTGAAGTTAATGTAGATGACCATTTTAGCTATTTTTTCATATAATTTTTTATCTTATTAATAAAATATATTTTAAATAGATTTTTTTCATAAATCAGCAGAATCAGCCGATACTAGGGGTGGGCACGGTCCGGTCCGGTCCAATATTTTGCCGAACCCGTACCCGTACTGTTACTATTGAAACGGTTCGGTTCAGTTCAGTCCTAGACCTAAACCCGTTCGGTACGGTCCATTTTCAAATGGGACGGTACCATGCCATACCAATACAAAACAATGCCATTTTTTTTTCAAGTGTTTAAGGAAAAATTAATGTTTAGCCATCTCAAAAAATCCCCACAATTTACCAATTTTTGTATTTCATACTAAGTCCGTTTCAAATTGATTTGCAAAGTCAACCTTTTTGGTCAAGTAGTTTATTTTTATTCACTTAATTAGGATTTCACTTTTTAATTATATTCTAATTATGATTAATATATGGTTGTGTTTATTTAAAAAAATTATATTCTAATTTGGCCTTTCAAATAAAGTACTTCGTATATTCTATTTTAGAAACCACATTAAAGATTTTAATGTGGTTTCTAAATATATAAATTTTAATTATTAATAATTGTATTAATTATCATTAGGTAGGACTTAACATTAACATTGACTAAAAAATGTTGACTTTGCAAATTAATTTGGGATGGATGAGGTAATTAATAAATTTCAGATAAACTATAGTAGTACAAATTTAAATAATTAAAGTATTAAACCATACTTCGGTCCGGTTCGGTCTGGTACCGGTTCTCATTTAATGAGAACCCGTCATGGCATTGTTTGGAACAGGTACGGTCCGGGACAAAAAATTTAAGATTCGTTTCAAACCCCGTTTATCGATCCGGTACCATACCGGTCCAGTTTGGTGCCATGTCGGTTCGGTATTTTTGCCCACCCCTAGCCGATACAACTACTTCAGCCAGAACTTCGTAACTTTCAGCAGAATCAACCGATTTCAGTGTTACCAAACGGGTGCATAATCGTTAATTTACAAATCTAACATGTGACAGAAAAAAGTAAAAAAAAAAAAAAAATTAGCTTGCGCTCACAAAAAGTTAAAAAATTAAGAGCCCGTTTCGTGATCCGGTTTTTCGGCTTATCGGGTTTATCAGCCAACTTTTTTACCAAACACGTAATTTTTTATTTTGCGTGCTGAATTGTGTAATAATAAGAAAAAGTAAGGTTGTAGTTACTTTTTTGACGGTATTGGTTGAAGATACTGTAGAGGATCATTTTAGTTTTTTTTTTCATTTTTTCTTTTTTTTATTAATAAAATATATTTTAGATATAATTTTTTTATGATTCAGCAGAATCAGTCAATACAGCCACTTCAGTCAGAACTTCATAAATTTCATCAGAATCAGCCAATAAAGCTGATTTAGGTATTACGAAGTGGGAAAGAAAGTCATTGAGATGGTTTAGAATTAGGGATGACAATGGGGCGGATCAGGGACGGTTTTACATATAACCGTACCCGCCCCGTTTGGTAATTCCCCCGCCCCATTACCCAACGGGTAATTTTTATCCAAACCATAACCGTCCCAATGGGTAACAGGTATAACTGCGGGCAACCGCGGGTAATCGCTTTAGTAAATGATTCCTTTATATTTTAATATAAAAATAATATTTTAAAAAGGATAAAAATGGCATCACTTAAAAGACTCTAGACCCAGACGCCACTTTAAAAATACTTAATCTGAAAAATAATTAATCACAAAAAATCTGAAAATAATAAAACAATACTATTAAGATCTATTATAAACTTTCATTCATACACTATAGTTAGTAAATCTATTATTCATATATACACAATGAAAATAGAAAAATATCATCTTTTATTAGTTGTGGGACAAATAATAGATAAGAATGTAATAAAAATATAATTAAAAATAAACGGGGCGGGTACGGGGCGGGTAATGGGGCGGGCATGTATAAAACCATAACCGCCCCGTTACCCGTAAAAACAAAACGGGTATTCCCCGCCCCGTACCCGTTACCCGGTCAATGCGGTTTTCCCCGTTTTGATCGGGACGGTTCGGTGCGGGTATCCATCGGATCGGTCAGAATTGCCATCTCTATTTAGAATACTCCGTATCATTTATACTTTTTAGATAATAATAAAGATAGTACGTAGTACGGAGTATATCTTATAGATCGAGTAGAGAGCAGTAAAATGGATATAGAACCATTCATTGTCATAAATTGGTATAGTAACGCTTGATTTTGGCCATTCTTTCTAACATACATATATCTCTTCAATGTTAAGACCAACATCCTTGAACTCGGATGAGATTCGAACATGTGACCTCCTATTTGGGAGATGTCATCACTTGCAATAACGCTTTGTTTTAGGGCATCACATCTTTAATTAATTGTTTTGTTTTCGAAACAAAACCCAAAAATGTAAATATTTTGAAATATGATGACCCTTTTCACTCTTCACAATTTTTATAAGATGTAATTTAAATTGTATGATATCACATAAATATTATATAATGAAATATAGTTCTGACCGGCCAAGAACCACTTTTGGTCCTCGTTTAAGAGAACCAAAACTTTGAACAAAAACTATACTTCAAATTGGTCCTCGATAGTATTATTTTATGCTTGGATTTTGAAAAATGACATTTGTATTCATCAATATCTTAGCGGCTTTAGAGCTTGTCCAACAGACCACCAAATCACACACCAAAATGGTGTATTTGCCAAAAACTTGCTCCAATGGCTACACCATTCTTTACACCATCTCACCAAAATGGGGGAGGGAGTTTGGGTTTACGCCATATATGGCGCACACCATCCCCTACGCCATCTTCTTTTTTTTAAATTTTTTTTATTTCAAATGTGACCCAAACTTTTGGTTGTTATACTTTTGGCCCATTTTTATAACAACAAATTAGGATGTTTTTACTTGGACTGTAATTTGCCGGTCTAGCCCGGTTTGGTCTTATTTGAACTGATCTGGTCTAGTTTCTTTGTATTTTATAACCCAAGTCTAGTCTGATCTGGTCTTGGTCTGGTCTGAACTGATCGGGTATTGCTTTAAGTTTAACTAGTACTTTATTAATGACGTACAAATTATTATAATATTATTGTAATATTTAATTTTATGTGTTTTTAGCTTGTATTTGTGAAATATTGATTATTGTATTTTAATTAGTGAAATGTGTGAAAATACATATTAAAATGGTGTATTTTAGTTTGTATGTGTGAAATAATGTGTGAAATGTCAAAATATTAAATGAGGGGCTAATGTATAAATATATGATAATTAGATACTTAAATAGAAGAATGGTAAAAAGTTAGTAAAAAGAATAAAAAGGGAATATTCCTTTTTTGTGATGAAAATGGTGTAAACTACTGAAGATAAAATACTGTATGATGTGATGTTTACACCATTTTAGTGTAAAAAAATGGTGTAAACTGTTGGAGATGACCTTGATATACAAGTGCGGTCTTCACCCAAGAAATAATAATATTTGTCAGATTTTTCAAATTTGTAGTCAGGTTTTCATCTTTCATTTTGTGTTATGTTGTATAGATCTATCTAACCCCTAACAAGCTTTGTTCATTTATTACAGGGTTTCCTTTCTAGACGATCAATTTTCGCCAGAGTTTCAATGTCAAGAATGACAAACTCTCTTTATAGCGTATGAATGCACATAACTTTTTTCTGTCTCAATTTTAAATTTGCACTCTCTCATCACTAACTTCATTATTCTAATAAAATGTTTATGAATAGGTTGCACATAATGAGGACTTTATAAGTGAGCTTCCAGACGATATCCTTGCTTCAATTCTTTCTCGTACACCAACGTATATTGCTTTAAGGACAAGTATTTTGTCGAAGAGGTGGAAGAATCTTTACAAATATGTGTCCAATGTAACTCTCTCTTGTGAGGATCTCTTGCGGGGTACCCATCATGGGCCACACTCTCAAACAGCGGTTTATAAGTTGCAAAGATACTTCGACAATTTTCACTATGGGTCGTCCAGAATACGTTTTGTGAGTTTGAGGTGTTGCATAAAAAAACCATGTGGACATCAGTTTGAGCAACTCATATACTCTTTAGGGAATCTAGGCATTGAAGAGCTTCACCTATGGTTATCTTGCAATGTGCCTTCGGATTTTGCTTTCAGTTGTGAGTACATTTCTCAAATACCTTCTGTCACTTTTTTAGTATTGGGTTCTTGTCTTCTAGTCGCGGGTTTTAGTGAAAAATTTTCGGCCCGTTTGGATAGAATGTTGGAAGGTGTCGGTAATGGAAGTGTCAGTAACCATAAACTTCAAACTCTGGAACTAAGAGGCGTGACGCTACTTCCCGGATCGTTGGAGTTTGTTTTATCTACTTGTTTGAGGCTCCGCTCATTGTACATAGGTAAATGTGAAACTCCATCCAAATTGTGTATTGGTTGGGCCGACACGGATCTCCAGTTGAAGAGTCTTGTAGTTGAGTATTGCCGAGGTGTAGAGGAGATTGAAATATATGCTGCTAATCTTCAAACACTCGAGTTCCAAGGCAATAAAATGGTTTATATTAGATTTGATCAAGCCCCTTTGTTGCAGTCTTTATATCTTTCCATTGAAAGTGAAAACATGATGGCTCATGTGTTTGGGAGACTTGCTAAAGATGTGTCAAGCCTTAAATCATTAACATTTGATTGTAAAGGTGATTTTTATCAGGTATGGAGGATAAGTATATACTCAAAATTTATTTATCCGTTGTATGATTTATAAAAGTATATACATATTTATATTTACTTATGTACACAGATACTTTCACACAAATACCATTCTATAATGTGTTTTTTCACATTCTTAGGAGAGCCAGAGACTTATGAGGATGGGAGGTATTGAAAAATTCAGCAAACTCAGGCGGTTAGAGTTGAATGTCAATTGCATGCCTAAGACAGATCTACTAGCACTTACTCCATTTTTGCAAAGTTGTCCCCTACTACAAGAGTTTCACTTGAATGTAAGTACTATATATCTAAGTAATTTGGTGGTTAATATTTAATTATTTGCATTAGTAGTTTGACCTAAATTTAATCTTTTGAGTTTTGAGCTTCAAAATAATGCTATAATAAGTGTGCACTAAATGATTTTTTGTTTGATAGTGCACTACATTTAGTAGTGCTACGGTTTTTCATAAAATTAATAAACATCATTCATATGAAAACAATGGATTTATAAATCAAGAGAGTTTATTCATAAAGTCTATAAACCTTTCTAAATGCCCAATGATTTAAAATGAGAATTTGACTTTGCATCTCACTTTTTGAGTGATATTAAACTTTACATCCCATCTTAAAAAAAATGACTTTGCATCTCATTCCACTTCAAAATCTTTTGACTTTGCACTCCATTTATTAATATTTCTTCACAAAACAAAATGTTATGTGATGGGATGCAAAATCAAAGTTTTTTCAAAATGAGATGCAAAGTCCAATATCATCCCAAGTTCAAAATCAAATTCATCCTTTAAAAATCCAATTTATATACATCACACGTCTATGTTTAATTTTGGTGTCACTTTGAAGGTATATGATCCCACTTATGATTGTGGGGAGGCAAAAGAGATGGAGCCCGCCATGGACAAACTTCCTCATCGTTATTATCACTTGAACTTGAAGAAGGTGGATATATGTGGTTTTGATGGGACTGAAAATGAGATAGAATTTTTGCTGTATATACTTAAAAGCGCAGTCATATTAGAGCAAATGCTTATCAGTAGTTCCGCCAAGAGTTATCGTGGCTATGGGAGGTGGTGGGAGCTAAAAAGGTCATGGAGTGGAGAGACTTTTGAGGTGATTCAAAGTCGATTGCAAGATGAGGCTGTTTCCTCAATCGCTCAACTCATTTTTGAAAATAATGTAATTTAATGTCCGCATGATTGATGCATTTGGTATGTATTTTTCATGACAATTAAACATATTAATCCATTTTACCTCAGTCAGCCATTTTAATATTTACCAAACTCAGATTTAAACTTATTTATACATCATATAAAAGATTTTTATTGTAGGGATCAAATAAGGGGTATATGGCCCAGGGACCCCCGACCCACACAGTCACACACTCTTACTTCTCCTACACAGGCCCAATGAGCTCAATACACACCCACGGCCCAAATACAGCGACCCAAGTGTCAAGAAGCCCACAATACACATAGGGGTGCCTTCAGCCTCCTTGGTCGAGGGCTCCAAATCACACAGGGCAGCCAGATTTAAGCGCACTAAGCTGCTAGGAGAAAATGGCAGAAATCAGGAGCCTTCGGCACTCTCATGCCTTTGGCGGCAGGGAAGCCTTCGGCTACACAGAGCCCTCGGCCGCTGGGAGAGCCTTCGGCTAAACAGCTCAATCATCGAAGATTCCCTTTGGAGACAAGCAACCACCGCATTTAATGCGGCGTCACATCCACCCACCGCCTTTAATGCGGTGCACATGCGAGTGTCGGTGCCACCCCGATTGAGGTGACCCCTCGGCCGTTAGATTGTCGCCACGTGCACTCTCATCGCTTTTATTGCTGCTATAAATAGCACCCCATTTTCCCATTGTAAAGGACGAGAACATCTCGAGTTCATTAATACAATCGCATCTCTCTCTCCTACTTGTTTGCTCTGACTTCTCTCTAGGTTATTCTCATAATAACCCCTCGGATAAGCTACCCCGGGTACACTGTCCATCAGGGTCTCTGACACCCACAAAGTCACAACCTCAGGACAATCAACTAAATAAGCAACCCAAACTGACACACAACCAAATTACCACACAAAACCAGCACTATTGTAGAATATAAAGCACAACAAAGAGCGGAAATAAAGCACATAGAGCACACATGATTTTTTTATGTGGAAAACCCTTCAACGTGAAGGATAAAAAACTACGGGACCTCTTGAGAAGTCCACCCTTAATTCTCTTATTGATAAATGAGAGTAAAAGAACCCCAAATCAGTCTACAAAGGATTCACAGCCCACCAACAATCACCAATAACAATAAGAGATCAAAATAGCACAATAAGGTGTAGAAATCACCCAAAACTGCAGGTCTGTTCGTGCAGTGTTTCTGACCATACCAGAGCTCAACTGAACTATCCGACCGTTCAAAATGAAGCCCTTGAAGTCACGAACAAGCTGTCCAAATTTCATCAAATCCGACTGGGAAGACCTCCGATCGATGATCTGAACGCAGTTGCGCAGTGCAGGTCAAAAAACGGGAATGCTGTCAAAATTTTTCTGTTTCAGCAAGATGGACTCCAAAAAACTTGTCTTAGAAGCCCAAAGTCCAAAATCAAATGGACCCAAAAATAGGACATAAAAGACCATCAAACAAGGCCCAAACATAAACAACAAAAACAATATAAAATATTGAAAATATGGACTGGACCCATAACATTTATTCCATCCTTGCAGTTTGTTATAAAAATGGCCTAAAAATTGAAATATGTACCCATTATGTTTTAAGGTTTTTAAACATTTCCTAGATGAAGAAATGTTAAGACAATTTTTATCATTTTTTAGTTTTTATGTAAGCATCTCATTTTTATCACATTATTTAAAAAAATAGACTTTGTGACTTTATTATTATATTGTGTTAGATATCTAAACTTGTTGATTGTATGTATAGGTTTAAATATCATAATTGGGGACACCCCTATTCAAGGGCATAGCTATGGGGGCAATCCTAGCCCCGGCTTAGCCCAAATTTAAAAATATCTATGTTTTTACTTTTTAGTGTAAAATATTCAGTGTATTTGTTTTTTTTAAATATTCTTTGTATCGGTCCAGATCGACCAATTCTTTGTACCCAATTCCAGTTTGGGTAAGTATGTATATTTAGGATGTTTTTTTTTTGGACTGAAATATGCTAGTCTGGTCTGATCTGGTATGGTCTGGTCTGGTTAGGTCTGGTAAACGTCTGGTCTTTGTGTATTTTATAACTACGGAAGCCTAGTCTGGTCTGATCTGGTCTGATCTGGGACTGAAAACAATCCAAAACAAACATCCTAAATCAATCAAATCTCTTCATTTTAAATATGTAGTATATGATGTTGGTAAACAGGTAAAGTTATCATTATGTTTAAAAATAGGCCTGTAGGGGTAGAGCCAGGGCACTAATGGAGGTAGTATATCTCTAACATTTACCATGTACGTATTTCTAATACAAGTTTCATCATGTTTTAATATTTATACAATAAGTACGTATATTCAAATTACTAATGTAATGAATTGCTTTTAGAAATAAAATTGAGCCTATTTGATAACACTTAAAATGGGTTGAATTGTTGTGGAATATGAACTGATTGAATTGGTTGAATCTTTTGAATTATGAAAAAAATAGAATATATTTTATCAACAAAATAATAAAAAAAGAATTATATGAAGAATCAATCACAAGTCTAATAACTTCAATCATACTTATTTCGACGATTACATAAAAAGTTAAATAGTTTAGGGAAAACTATCAATTTGGTCCTCATACTATCACAAAAAAGTCAATTAGGACCTCATACTTTGAAAAAGGTCAATTAAATCCCGAAGTTTGAAAAAAAGTTTAATTGAGTCAATTAGCAGGTTTCCTCCCATGCCAACAGGGCAACAGGTCACCCGCTAACGTGACACATACGTGATGGTTCATGTGTGTACCACGTCATCCATAATCGCTGACTAGGCTTACACGTGGGTGACACATCAATAGAGTCGGTGCTGACTGGGCTGTCACGTGTGTTCCGCGTCAGCAGGTGACTTGATGACGTGGCGAGTAACTTGCTAATGAACTCAATTGAACATTTTTAAAAAATCGGGAATTTGATTGATTTCGTTAAAACAACGATAGGTTAATTGACTTTTTCGTAATAGTACGAGGATCAAATTGAGACTTTTCTCAATATTTTATATAAAAAAAGTGACTAATAAGATTTTATACCATAGTAATTCATTCTTCATCCGTGCAAGTTATGAATGAGGATAGAATCATGCTCCGTGGAAGTTACACAGGTAGTTGGTCCTGAGGAGTGAAGTCTGACAACGGTTATAGAATGGCTCAATTTCAAACTCAGATCAGGAGAGTGAGATGGTCGGCGTGGTTTCTAGGAGCGTCCAACGCTCTGACCGTTGCCCTGAGCGTTCCTGTCGTGTTGCCGGCGTTGGCTAGTCTCCCGTCTTGCGGGAGAGCCGACGTTGCAGCCGTCGCCCTCATTGCCTTGATTTCGTGCGCTAGAATTCTAGCAATGGCTCGCATTGGATTCCACCAAAAAGCTTCCGCTCTCACCATTCTCTCTCCCGATTCCAATTCCGATCCCAGTATTCGCCAAGAACGACGGGTACTTTCTTCTTCGTTTATAACCATTTTTATATGAGCTCTAGGCACGTGAGTATTTCTATGGCTGCTTTTCATTTCAAACGGATTCAATGAGAAACTTAACAGGTCATTTTTTTCACTTTGACATTTCAACATTGTTTCCTGCTTGATGACTTTAAACTGAAGAGGAGATACCGGAATTGGTTGTGGTGGACTCGGTTTGCTACAGTAATTACGGTGCTGCAATTTATTGGGGCCGCTTATTATCTGTTTACTCTTACGAAAATGGTGTATCAAAATGCAGTATCAACTAGTTGTGTTCCAGGTAATCTTAGCTTGGAATTGCTTCATATGTATTGTCTTTTCTTCTGGTTTTTCTTTAGGACGTAATGGGCTTTTATAAAGAGATGCTACAGAACCAATGTTGTATTTGCACGAATTGTAAGATGACTATTTAGAAGCATGAGCAGATTAGTCTATAAGGTGAAAGTCCAAACCTGTAAAATATCTATGGAAGCATTATAATAGCAGAACCTTTCTAAATGGAATTGTTTGTCAAATGCTTGATCCTAAAAGGTAAAAACAAATTAAATGTGTATTGGAAAGCCTGTCGCCACCCCTAGATACAGATTTTGCAACAAAATTGGAGAGCCTTTCTCTTGTGAAAACATACTGATGGAATCTACCCTGTAAATACCATTTTACTAGCTTATATGTTTTATAGTAACACTTATGTATTACTCATTAATGTACAGTGCTGTAAACAATAATTTATGACCATGTTCATGATTTTTGTGTTTGTTCTACCATGTCAATTATGTAATAGACATGGCTCTAACAACTATTTCAACTCATCGCTGTCTCATCACTCGTGATGTTTTTCACGCAAGTGGAAATAAACTATATGATGATGTAGGTTTTAGATTTTCATGCTTTTTGCACGGATTTAAGTTAACAAGTTATAGAAAACTAGTTGATGCTAAAAATTCTAGAGAACTAACCCCAAGCAGTTAAGATTAAGGTGTTGACATTGAATGGGTTTTGTTGAAATGTAATTTTCCCTTTAGCCGTTTGCTGGCCTGTAGATATGGACAAAGCACAATTTGTGATTTTGAAACTTGCTTTGTATGCAGAAAATGTTTTTTTCCAGTTTCCGCTCAATACTTTTTTTGTCCAATTCAAATATATGATTATAAAGTAGAAAAGGGCATTTGAGAACTAGTAAAAAGAAAACACGTGACATATTGTATATGAATTGATGGAACAAAGAGTTCTTTGAAGAATGGATAAACATTTTGATACAATATACTCCGTCCGTCTCATATTAGGATTTTATTTGCTTTTGGCATGCTTATTAAGAAAGTGAAATTGTGTGATCGATATTTATTACGAATTGGAGAAAACGAGAGCATAGCTTGAGATGAACAAATATAACAACAAAGCTAAATTGACAAATAGGGACTACTTTCTTTGTTCAATTTATGGATTATTATTTTTCAAGATCATGTGCATTTGTAATTCATACGAAAGGCTGTTTTCTAATATCTTTTTGCAAATTTGATGTTGATCAATGTGACACAACTGACCCAAGGTAGCAATTTTTTAACTATATCTTGCAGAGCTTTTCTCAAGTGGTATAAAATGGCAGCGAATTACAGTTTTCCTTTTCATGTCAATTGTAATTTATGTTGCCCCGGTCCAGTTTGTCACAGGATCTGATGTTTTGAGATGGAGATCTTTCTATTCCACGGAGGATTATGCATGGAAGGCACACTATAGGGAGGTGTTTGATAATGGCATCCGTCAAGCTTTGTGCTGTCTGGGACGGTTTAATTACTTGTAGGTTTTCTGCATGCATTGCCATAGATTTGTTTGATCTTCTCCTTGCAATTTTTATCCTCTTAAGATTTTAGGAGTGCGTTGGATGAAGATGAAGTTTACTCAGTTGCAGAGTTTTTGGGTGATCTTGTTACATATCGTGCATCAGGAAGAGGACATTTGGAATTCTTGGCAGGTATATTTTCTCTATAATAAAGTAATGTTCACGTTTTCTCCTATGTGCCCTCATTAATAAGTTATGTTAGGTCAAAACTATAAAACCTTTTACGTAGTTTCTACCTAAACATATTATGTTTACTATCTCTAGTCAGTGTTGTTAGTGGCTGTGGCGGATTGGAGTATCAGGTTTTTGGTGGGCGGCATTGCAAATTTGTGAAGAATAACAATCTATTGTGGCGTTTTCAAAATAAAAATTAGTCTATGGTGGCACCATATGGTGGATTCCTTTTCATCTGCCATTATCTGTCATTAACTATTAATAACACCGCTCTAAGTCAATTAGTTAAACGACAACGACCATAATGAAGTCTTACTCTCAAAAGAGTTTGGGGTCGTCTAACATGAATCCACAAATGAAATCGGAGCCAAAAAAATATAAAAAGAGATCAATCCTCCACACGTATGTTGTCCCTCCACTTCACTCTCTCCAAAGTCATACTCTCATCCAACCCAATAAGTACCATATCATTCCTAACCACTCTAAGTTAAACATTGAAAAAACTAACTGCACCTGACTTGAGCTAAAATTTGGTGTAGGGGTAGACACATAAAATAGGACAGGGTGTGTTTTTTGCAACAATTATTTGGTTGAATGTTCTATATTCCTTAAGTGTTAGTTTTTTCTCTAATCAACTTAAACTTAATTAAATAGTTTTTAGACTTGCCGTGTTTTCTAGAAAATAAAATTACAACGGAAGTGTATAAATACCAGACATAGACGTCAATCACTCTTGCACTGTTGTACAATATTAGTTATTTGGGTATAGTGGTGGACATGTACTTGATATATGAATTGATATACAAAGTTTATCTTCTTCTTTCACATGATTTCCATTCATATTTGTTTCTGGCTGTCCATCTTTTCTAGTGACATGCCCCTCATAACACCTTTTTTCCAACACAATTCTAGTGAATACTTGGACCAATCAATAACACCTTTTTAAATGAAAAACCTTGCCCCCAGAAAGTACTACACCTTGCCCCCAAAACCTTTTATCATGGTGCCTTCAAATTCTTCTCTTCATCATCAACGACCTTGTACTAGATCTTGTACCAAGGCGCTTAACACATGGCTTAATACATAATACATGATTGAATGTAGTACTAAATCTTCATAATTGAACAAATAAAAGAATATTATGAGTCTGTTGGTAACCCCTATTTTCAGCTTATGAGTCTTATCAACCAACTTTTTACCAAACACATAGTTTTTTACCCCGCTCGCTGAGTTGTGTAATAATCAAAATAAGTAAGGTTGGAATTACTTTTCTGGCTGAATTGGCTAAAGTGAGTGTAGAAAACTACTTTGGCTATTTTTAATGTAATTTTTTCTTAATGCTATTACTAAAATATATTTTAATTATGATTTTTCATAACTTAGCAGATTCAGCTAATTTAGCCACTTCAGCTAGAAATTCATAAATTTCAGCATATTCAGTTGATTCAGCCAATTTCAGTGTTACCAAATGGACCCTATATTAGCAAACTCTTTATCATATAATTTATAGATTTACCACTGAAATAACTCATAAGTCATAACCCTAATATTCCACAAAAAGTACATGTATGGAGTATCTTTTGTTTATCTTTATACATTGTCAATTAATTAATTACGAGTATGGCTCTTCACTTCTTCCTGTTGCTTAGATCATAAATCTAATTTCTCAAATTTAATGGGTGGTACAAAATATATCAGAAGTTCAAGTTAGACCTCCAATGCTAATGTTGATCAATATTGGATTTTCTATTTTTTTTTTTAAGGATAACAAAATAAACGATTACAAATGAAAAAAGAAGACAGAAGAGGAACAAAAAGAAAAAGAAAAGGAAATTCCCAATCCCCAAATACATTTTTTTTCCCTACCCAAAAAAGCCCTAACTCCCTTTATCAACATCAACGCTCCTTGCGAGTTTGAGATCGTGTTTTCATACGATGTGAATGTGGATTTTCTATTATAAGGTGAGTATATTATAGCTGTGGACATGGGGGTGATGGAGTTAGTGATGATGAATTGATGACTATGACTGGATATCAAGATCTATTATTCGATAGTCTTTTCATGGATGTATATTTTTATATTATACTTCACATACTAGTTGCATTGAAGTAAATCCTTTTATCTGCACAGTTTTCTTCTTGGGGAAGAACATAGTAACAAACAAAAGAGATGGCTTCTTAGCCTCTAGATACACTGATTACAATCTTTCATTTACTATGTTGTCTAAACAAAATGCTCTTTTCTTGATGTTCAGGGTTAGCTTTATTGCATAGATATAGTTCATCCTCTAAGTTATGTGAAGAGCCCCTACCAGTGCCCACGGAAAGGATTCAGGAGGCAGGTCTCTTTCATCCGTTCGCTGAAGCTGCATATACTGTATGATGATTTTGCTATGATCTTTTATAAACTGCCATGACCAAATGTTTTGGGCTTAATGTGAGTGAGTGCAAATGCGCAATACAGGGTCTATTACTTGATGTTGGAAGAAATCCATTATTTTTCCCCTTGTCATGGTTGCGCAGACAAGGCATCTTCTCTCCTTGGGCTCGTAATAGGTGAGAATGTAATGGTTTTCCTCACTGGCATGGATCTATACGTTTTTTTTTATTTTCCTGAATGCTTTCTTTTGCAGAATACACCTTACAGAAATAATCTGCAAGAACAATTTTAGATTCAAAGCTGTGGGAAATCAATTCCCAATAGCTTTATGAATCTGATCTGCAATAGCTTTAAGAAAACGATCATCGATAGCTTTTAGCTGTTAAAACTCTTTACTTTGTATTAGAGATGAAGTGTCTTCTTTTGCTTCCAATGTGTTTTCTTGTGTGTGCCTCAGTCTTTTACCGAAATCACAGATAAGTGGGCCTCCACGTCCTCCTTCTCAGCTATTTTTTCCTCCATGAGTACCTCCCCTGCTCCACGTCCTCTTCCTCTGTTACTATTCTGAAAATTAGTGGAAGTGCAGAGTGATGAGGTTTAGATGTTTTGATTCTGTAGAAGCTCAGGAAACTCGGTGAGGCCTTTTAAACAATTATTTAGTTCTTTGAACAAATCCATCTACATGCATTCCATGACGAACTTGTTTGTACTCACTTTCAAACTTCACAAGAGAGATGACAATAAAGAACTTGTCTCGGTTGGCAATCCGTACTTTCAGTGATCCTCCATTAGACTTGGTTAACTGAACTAAGTCATGTGTTCCTTATTTTTTCTCAGAAATGGTTCCATTGACATCTCTGATATCTTAATGGTTTCATATGAATATAGTTGAGGGTAGTGTAATCTTAATACAAGTGTTGCCTAGTTTGGCCTAGCCCATCTTGAGTTTAGAACTTGTATCTAAACATACTTTCTGCACATTCTTCACTCACAGATGTATACTACACTTCATTTTTCACATGGTGTCAGATTAACAGGTTCAGTCCTATTCTTCGGGGTGACACCCTTTTCTGGGACATGTTCTTTATGCGGTCCTGTTTATCATCATCTGCCCCTTCAGCTCATCAGATTCATCCTACGACACCATCACTATGCTTGGGCCGGTGTCGCACAACCACCAGAGCTTCTCAGCCTCCCTCATGTGCCTGAGTGTGCTGCAAATCTGCAATAATGCTTGTGCTGTCACGTGATCTTCACCTTCTATTACTTTCATGCAATAACTATGGATAAGTTCATGGGTAGCAAAAACTATCATCTTTTGTCGCCTATGTCTTGTATAAGTAAGGCAAAACAAGCTGCATTGGTTCAGAAATGTCAGCCATGGAGATGCAAGTTCTCTGCCCAAATATGGCGACTGATGCCTTAGAGTGTTAAAGACATGAAGAGAAGCCTTGGTAGGGAAAAAATAACATAGATTAAAGGTGTAAAAGAGACATTAGGATGTTGAGGGCTTAATGAGTATATTTCATGCCAAAAAATGAACAAATACGGATAGTGATGTCTAGTGTTACAGAATGAAGGGAAGCCTTGGTAGGCCAAACATGTTGGTGCTTAATGAGTATATGTTACATGCCAAAAAATGACGACCTTGAAAATATTTTCATTAGTTCTTGTAGACGACCCCATTGATAGCTGAAGCTTGTTATAAGAATGATATTCTACCACTATATCATTCTTGTCCAATAGGCTCAGTTTCAAAGTACCAATCTGATAGGAGGAGATGTTAGGCTTTCTTGAACGTGTGGAATAAGTGCCTATGGATTGATATGTAATGAAGTGGAGGATTCTGTATATTTTCTTCATTCCAAGGATGATAAATGTATATTGCATGTAATTTATGTGGAAATGATATTATAAAAAGGAATTTTATCATTTCAGGACCCGTAAGATAGACAAATTATCAATACGGGACCTGAAAGATGAAATGCATCGATATAGGACCCGAATGATGGAAAACTATCAATTTAGGACCTGAATGATTGGAAACTATCAATCTAGGACCTAAGTTGTCATTAATTTTATTTTATTTTTATTTTAAAAGATTTAAATATTATTTAGTTTTATTAAACAATTTAAACTAATAAACTTTTGTGAAGAAAAGTTTATCAAAAATTAGTAATGGATTTAATACAAAATAAAATAAATCAAAACCTATGAAATGTTAGGTCCTAAATTGATAGTTTTTCATCATTCGGGTCCTATACCGATACGTTTCATCTTTCGGGTCCTGAAATGATAATTAATCTATCTTTCGGGGCCTGAATTGATAAAATTCGGATCAAGGAACTTCTAATATTGTTTTTTTATTGGTGGAAATTTGATCTCTTGAAAAAGTAAGAATCACTTGATCCAATGCTGAAGCAGAATATTGAACTCTGTCTGTTTCTACATGTGAGTTTGAACGTTGAAGCACTTGATCCAGAAATTGTGATACGGTAGTGTTGCCCAAATGACATTAATATTTGATAGCCAGGCATCCTTACGAATTGGTACAGACCTGGTTTACCATGAAAAAACTATGTATAATAGGGGGGATGTCATTTCATTATGAGAAGCTCAATGCATTACTACTAACTTCAATATTTTGTTTATCAATTGGCTGGTTTTATTTCCAAGTCTGTCGGAGCTCCTAAAATAGAATATATTTGTAACAAGCAGACTCATATTTATATACTCCAGGTTTAGGGAGAGTGTTAAGTGTAGTAGCGTACTGGCGCTAGTGTAGCACTGTAGCTGTATCCCTAACCATACTGCAGCCGTAGTTAGTATGGGCATAGCATTATCTCAAGTTCTGTACTTGTATAGTACTATAGTTGTATGTCCATGCGCTCTGTACATTCTTCATATACAAAAGTATACAATAGTTTGTTATCTACTTATGTAACGATTCAGCTTCTTACCATGCCAAATAGCTTTCCTTTGAAAAATTGGAAAACGTGCCTTCTGTGAAAGTGACTAGCGTAACACATAATTGGCCATTAAATCTCTCAAATCTCTTTCTCATGTTGACTGTTGAGTACTGTCACCTTGAGTGGTCATATGATTTGCTACGCCTTGTCCCATGAATCAGAAATCTATTGTAGGGGACCATACCTGAAAGTTATGGAACCCATTTAATCAATAACTGGATTACCGTACATTTGGAACGTCTGGATTAATGTTGCACTGTTGTAGGAGCTAAGGAGCTACAATGGTAATGTCGTTGATGGAATTATCACTACCCTCTGTAATGCAATAATGGTTTACTGAGTTTGAGGAGTAGAGTGAGAGGATAAACGCGGTTCGAGAGGAGGGAATTGATAAGACTGAATCAAATTCTCAACAATAAAAAACAATCAGGAGCTAAGGAGCTACAATGGTAATGTCGTTGATGGAATTATCACTACCCTCTGTAATACAATAATGGTTTACTGAGTTTCAGGAGTAGAGTGAGAGGATAAACGCGGTTCGAGAGGAGGGAGTTGATAAGACTGAAACAAATTCTCAACAATAAAAACAATCAATCTGGAAATATTATTCCTACCCTCTGTCATAGAAGAATAGTTTGTGGAGAAGTTTCAGGAGTAGAGTAGAGGATAAATTGGGTTGGAGCGAAGGCTGAAGGGGGTAGAGAACAAAAAAACCTAATTTAGACAGAAAATGAATCAATGTGAAAATATTTTTGATGCAGCGAAAATGTGATGCTTCTAGCCTTCTAGGGTTGGGGGTGAAGATTGTTTATTGATTGCATTCAAGATTACTTTGATACGCCTCTTATAGGCACAAAAGGAAAATCGTGGAACACTTGAAAAATGTGCAAAAGGGGGTGGTTTGACAAACCTAGTGCTCTATAGAATCAGGTCCTAACCAGATATTCTTGAACCATGTGTCCCGAAAGAGTGTTTTGAAAAAAATGCAAGTTATAATAATATAATTTAAACAAGATAAAATAAAATGAAAACTAAGAAAAGAACTGTAAATGAACTCCTCTCTTGATGATTTACATATTAAAACTTCCATTATTTGCAGTAGAACAATATTATTTTCATTTACTTAAGGATAATCATGATATTCTTATTTGAGATCTGGATTTGTGAAATTATAAAACCTTTTGATTTTGCTATCTGATGCCAATTTTAACCTGTTTATTGCAGCCTGCCATTACTTGAAGGGGATAACTGGTGGAGAGGTCACGCGGCGGCTTTCTTGAAATATGTCGAGCTGGCAAGTGACGTACTTAGAAAGGGACGTGTTAACCAAGTAAGTCATATTTTAAATTTGTTGTAGCATATAATATCGGATTATTGTGGTTATAGGTAAGAGAGCTGTTACAAAGTTACCCATATTCAGAAATGAAATGATCTCAATTTTCATGATCAAATAGTACTACGTAGTATATCAAAGTTGCATCCATTAGCAACTTTAGTAGTAGAGTTAATATACTCACTTGATACTAAATTGAAAAGGGAATCCAGAGTATTATAATGAGTGTTTGCTTAGAAGATGGCACATGGAAAATTTTTCCATCATTTTCAATGGAGCCAAAGATTCATTATTTTTTGGCTTGAGAATATGATGGAATAAAGCAAAATGGCTCACTAAACTGTCTGCGCTTCTTTGTTATGAAGCAGAAGTCAGTCCATGCAATTTTGGACGCGATTTTCACTATGGGTCATCCGGAAACAGTCTCTCTGTGCTTTAGTACAGGGGTAAGACTGCGTACATCCGACCCCCCCTTACTCTATCGTAGGTGGGAGCCTTTGCGGCACTGGGGTAAATAAAATGAAAATGAAATGAAATGTATCTTTGAAATGTATTATTTGTAGATAAATTATTTATAGATTGCTTTTTTTTTTACTATTGACAGCATTTGTTTTGTGAAACTTTTGAATCTCTTAATATAGTTTTTTTTTTTAATATCTGAAGTTTATTTGCTCATATTATATTAAGTGTTACAACAATTGAACTGTAAATACTGTCCATCTTTGCTTCGTTGTATGAGTAACAAACAAAATGAGATGCAGGAAGTGAGATTTGTGTATTAACAATAATGGGATAAGGCGTAACCAAAATACGAAAACCCTTAGAGTCTCTAAACCTAGGGTTACTAAATTTTGCACTTTTAATTTTCTTATATTTCTATATTTCAAGTGCACTCATTGAAAGGAGTTAAATCTCTTGTCCTTTATGCGCGTTTTCTGTTTGTATTTTTCTAGATGTAGTTCAGTTGCACAAATGTTTTCTTTTTGTTGGTGTGCCCTGTGTAGATCAATACAATGGAATGATTACGTTTTATACAAATGATTTATGGCTGTATGGGTCATTATATTGTACATTTGATTGAGCATTAAAGCTTTTTGTAGATTTAATTGTACCGTATGTGGACTAGTTCTGTTATATTAGGTCCTTTTTTTGTCTGAGCCAATATTTCAGAGTTCAGAACTTCAGACATACACACTCTCGAGTCCAGATGTAATTAAAGTTTATGTCTCACGTTCTTTTTTAGGAGAAGTGTAAAGCGGCGTACTTCATTGTCGTTTTGCATCACTTAAGAACTGTTGTGATCGCTGTGCGTGGAACTGAGACCCCTGAAGACCTCATTACTGATGGTTTATGCCGGGAATGCAGCCTTTATGAAGGAGATTTAGATGGTTTAGTAAAGTATATCTCTCTCTATATCTATCTATATATTTCGTGCATGCATTCACACTCAAACACTCTGCTTTTTAAATGGCAACTTCTGTACCATGTTCGGACATGAGGTTTCAATTTCCATGAAAGGCCAATTTTGCATAAATTAGGTGTCCACGCTCCAGTGTGAAAGTAAGCTCTAAAAATTACTATAGAGTTTTCTACCCTTCAATTTCCGAATTCTAGGACAGTTCTTGGCATCGGTTTGAAATTGTATGTGATTCCTCTAAACATAATACTCCCTCCGTCCCCGAAAGAAGTTCCCAGTCACTATTCATTGGTCAACTTGAATCACTCCTAATCCTTTACTTTATAGATCAAATTTTTATCAAACTTGAATTTTCTTGATCAGACTTTGTAGCGGTTTTAATTTAGTTTTTGAATATGTAAATTTTGTTTACTAAAAATAATCCGAGTGTGAACAGGGATCGAGTTGCTTTATCGTCAGTCAAGCATCGTAAACCGAACGGGAACTTCTTTCGGGGACGGAGGTAGTACATATGAACGGAACAACATCAATGTCGAAGTTAAAGCAAATCTCACACTGATGACCATGCAAAACAGCATTGGGGATTACGGGCAATTGAGAAAATAATGGAAGATCAATGTAGGTTGTGTTACTCTTAGTTACTGTTAAAGGTTAGGTGTAGTTTGTTGGTGTTAGATGCTTGCACAGAATATAGCCCTAAGCCCAACAAGTTACGCTGGCACTGTATTGTTCTAAATAAACAAGAGTACTTCTCCACTGTGTTTAAAACATCGTACAATTTATAGTCTGTCATTACATATTCCTAATTGCTACACGAGTTCTTGCTTCCAGTACCTAGTGGGTGGTGGCTAGCTTATGCAACCCGCTAGACTCTAGTTTCTCAATATCCAACATGGCATTGTGCCTCTTTCCAAGGCTTATATCCAGCGAACTGCCATATACCCTTGTGGCCTTTAAACTTGCCATCTTTGTCCAGATCTCATCCAAAACAATTATATCATATACTTTGGTTTCTTCTTATTGCCTGCTATAGTATCTTTATGTCTGGCTCACCGTTCTAATAAAATCATTAAGCTAGCAGCAGCTAGATTGTTGATGGGTCATTTATCATAGCTCTGGAATTTAAAACAACTTTATATGTCAAGTTTTGACATACGCTGGTTTCTTCTTATTGCCTGCTATAGTATCTTTATGTCTGGCTCACCGTCCTAATAAAATCATTAAGCTAGCAGCAGCTAGATTGTTGATGGGTCATTCCATAAGCACCTCACATAAGAGGAGTCCACGATCTTATATATTTACACTTCAACGGGTGTGAGAAAAAAATACCTTAACATGCCCTCATCCCAAATCAGACAGGATAACTTGGGATGTGAAAAAATTAATCAAACAGACCTGAACGGGCTACTTTAAGTCGTGCCAAACAAACAATTAAGCAACAACCAGACCAGATTGGTATCATATTAAATTTTGGTGTTCCATCTTAAAGGGTAATCATATATGATGAGTGGCTCAAAATCTTATGTACTGACAGTGTGGCACAAATACAATTACATCAACATATGGCTGTTTTTTATATATCTGTTTTTTGGCCAAGTTATCCAATTTCCATTCTTGCCTCTTTTCACCATCGTTTCTGCTACTTCTAATGAATGTAGATGCTACTGCAGTAGTAAAAAGAAAGAAGACGTAAAACAGCAAAAGGAAAACGAGGCATCACAAAAGAAAATGAAAAAAAGAGGGAGAGGGGAAAGAAAAAGGAAAAGGTCATACACAAGGGGAGCAGATTCTGGAGGAAGGAAATTTGAAAAAACAAAGAGTCAAATAGAAAGTTTAAAATGGTCTACTACGTTCAAAATTGTGAAACCGACAATCAGACTTTTCCTTATGAAATGCCCACATTCCACAGCTTTACCATCTTCTTCTCTGTCAAGTCTTTTGCTAATTTGCTCAACCACGTACTATTTCTTTAAACAATGACCTGATCGAGTCTCCCTTCCTTTACCTGGCAGGTCACATTACTGTTATGGGAACTTCGTGTTGACATGACTCATATTATAAAATAGAAAAAATCAAAGTTATTTTTAAAAGGTGTGCCCCACTTTGGCCTTATCTATTTAGTGAAAGGGGAGTGATTTGTGCTCTCAACCAGTGCTTAATTTTTTTCATTCACTGCTATTTTTTGTGGACCAATCGAAGAATTTTTTATGCTATTATCTGTTGGATCTAGATGAGTTCATCTTATGTACTACACTCTCACTGTTCTCAAGAGAAATTCTTGCAATGCAAGTCCTAGGATTTATTATGTGTTTCACTGTTTCCATCTTTTTTGACACTTTGTGTTCGGTCTCATCCGTTGGCACTCTTATTTTCATTTCTGAGGGGGGTATCCATGTTAATTTTTTTGAAGTCATCCAGCAATATTGTTCTCTCTAGCCATGCCACAAAGATGTATTGATAAAGTTTGGTTCAATTTTTGCTTTATATGTAGGACTTGGAATTAATGTTACATTTTTAAGACTTCGAATAAAGTCTTACAATGATACTTAGTCCATTTTAATCACCCTTTATCACCCAAGGTAAATGGATTGGAGTTGTACAAGAATTTTGTTGCCTTGCAAGTTGCAACAAAAGTGATGAAATTTAACTAGGTGGTGACATCAATGTTACAAGTTGTGCATGTAGTCAGCCATCAATAGCAGTCTCATTCTCTCTGTTGGAACACACACACCAGGCACGCCCTGCCTGCACACACTATAATAAAATATGCTATTTTGTACATATACCATACCATGAATATGAATTGTGTGAATGCGCCCTTGCTTATATTTCAGTTTTTGTCATGATGGAGATCATATCCCATTAACCATGAAGAAAATAGAAGCTTCATCACCAGTGCACTATGCTCACTCTGGTGTAGTCGAGGCTGCACGTGATCTGTTTATGCAAGTTGAAGGAAATTCTATCGATGGTAAGGAACTACATTATTGTACTTCTGGATGACACCCCTCATGGTATTAACCTTGAAAATGAGCTCACTCACTACACATCAAACAAAACTTTGCAAGTCCATGGCAATGTGTTATAGAATGCAAATTTACAATAGCTATATCCCTTGGTGTTATGCGCAACCACAAGGTCACACACACATAGTGGCGCTAAATGTGTAGATAAGATACCAATCTCTTGTCTTCTCTACCCTTCCAAGTAGCACATGTTATCTCAATGCTCTTAAAACATCATATAACTAGTTCCCCAATACCTGTATCCCGTGCAGTGACATGGTTCGCATTGTGTTTCTACCCTTTTTTGTATGTTTTCCTTGAGATTTCTTTTTATTGTTGGGTGCATATTCTCCTTATGGCATTAGATATATTAGGGAATTCGTTATGGTATGACATGTTTTGCTTCAGACTCCCAATGCCAGTGTCAATAAGCATGTTCTAGTAACCAGACATTAGCATCAACTAATGAGTTAGAAATTGCAAACTTATAAAAGCATCTTCACTTTCACCTTTACATTCTTCTAGAAGTTTTGTGATTGATTATTTGGTCCTTACTCAAACTCTTTCCCTTGTATCCTCTTGATCATCAACCTAAATTTTTATTGCAAATCCAATTAATGATCATGGAAAATCAACATGTATTTAATTATTAACATCTAGTCGTTCATTTTAAAATCATTTATTTTTCACATGGTATTTCCTTAGCAATAAAAGTTATAGAATTTATTTTTTAAGAATACGCAAAGGAAACAATATGTATGTAAAACCTTTTCAGTCCACTATTTGTGTAGCTTTCTTTTATTGATAGAATAAAAGCAGAATTTTGTATTTTAACACATTTTGTACATGTGATCAAGTATTAAAATATACTTTGATATTTTTTGGTAAGTGTTTTATGGTAACTAAAATATACTCTGATATTAATCCAAATCTTTTGGGATTAAGGCTTGAATGCTGAACTGTTTTATGGTAATAAAAATTACTTTTGAAGTTAAACATTTTTTCAAAAGGATTAGTAGTTGTTATGTTAAAATGCACACTAGCTTTAGAGACTATTAGTTATATTTGCAATAACAATTGTATTTATCTTAAATCATTTAATAGATTACAAAATACATTTTAGGTATATGTATGTGTGAGAAAATAAGTATATTTGCTATAGTAAATAAACTACTTTAAATTGTATTTGTAATTTACTTTAACAGTGTTACTAATACAACAAGTACCATGTGGGTGCTTATTTCATGTACCTAATAGCTGCCACATGACACTTAACGTATAAATGGATGAAAGAACATAACAGAAGAACCAAAATGATATGAATTAAAAAAATTGAGGACTAAAATGTTTGAACGTTTAGCTTGAGGGCCAAAACAATATGAGGGTGATATTTGAGGACTTTATATGCATTTTACAATTGATGTGGATATAAATGCACATATACTTTTCAACACCACAGGTGGGTTTCTCTCCTCATTACTGGGTTCAGGATGCGAGTGTGATGGATATAGTATGCGAATAGTAGGGCATTCCCTTGGAGGAGCCATCGCTGCTTTGCTTGGCATTCGTGTAAGTCTTCGTCTCGAAAGGTTATATTTATCAAAAGGTTTATCGATTTTGTTGTTTATGGAGTACTCTTTTTGGCATACGGTGTAAAGTTAGAATATTGTGTTTATTATAGTAGACAAACTCTTTCTTGTTTCATCTTATATGTCATCATACCTCAGTACTTCACCAATTATGACTCTTGACTTGCAATAACAAGACAATTGCAATACTTGTATGGATAAATATCTAACCTAATCCTAATAGGAATAGGAACTATAATATAAAGTTTAAACCAAATTGGAGTAGGAAATTATTGTACTTAACTGGGATTGCTATATTTCTATAATTGAGTATGTTTTTATACACCAATATCCCTCAAGCTCGAGCATCATATGCTCCAAGCTGGATGAAAAGAAATAAACGGAAACTTGACAATAAAATTGAGAACTTGAATTGAAGTTGAACTTAGAAGCTAGGAACTAAACTTTGAAACTTGTGTTCTCTGGAAGTTTGGAAACATAAAACTTTAAACTTGAACCAAACTTTACTTTATGCTTAAACTTCTCGTTAACTGAACTGAAGTTGAACTTGATCGGTGCACACTTGAGCATCTTGAATTTGAACGGTGTTGGGCCCACTCGAGCATCCTGAATGTGAACTTTACTACATTTCAGTTTCACTTGACTTGAGTTAACATAACTTAACTTTGAAACTTCAAAACTCATTTTTTATTCCCTTATTCCAATTTTTTTAATTATTTCCCTTTTTCTCCTGTATTTTATGAAGTAGTCGACATAAAACTGGGAAAAATTGCAAATTACCAAAAAAATATGAAACTTTCCGTCAGAGTATCTTGACAAGGCTTTGCATAAAGTAATCTTGTATCCTCGATCAAATCCAACACATCTTCCTCTTTGAATGAAATATGATTCGTTTTAAACAAGCTCACGTCATTCCCAATAAATAGAGGGGGTATGATCTTAAGCATTTCTCTATAATCCAAGTTCTATATTCAACCATGAGAATGCAACAAACCAGGAGGGTTGCTCCACATATATCTTCTGTTAAGCCACCATGAAAACTATTTTTGACATCCAAATGATGCAAATCTGAATAACTAGTAGCAGGAATGTTATAAGTGTATTGAAGAAGTAGGTAAATGCTTTTGAGCAGCACATGAAGCAATAGGATGATCACAGCTGTGCTTCCTCTTATGGAGGGAAATAGGAAGATTGAAAGTAGGATCACTTGACGACAATTCTTTTAAGAGATGGATCTTGGGTGTCATCGGAGAGTCTAGCGAGACTAGTTGAATTCAACTTTGGTCAAGGAACACTAGATTTTTCTAGAACACGCTAGAGTCATTGTAGTTAGCCCCTAACTTAGGAGAGTACAGGGGCCAGCCACTAGTCAAGATGAGCCGCAGAAGTTGAGATCTCACAGATAACAGCTCAAAAGTCGTGGAGGGGTGTCACATGTGGTGGCCTATGGCGGTGTGAGCCTTCAAATGATGTGTCATGGCTATAGCTTTGAATTTGAACCCTGAGGTGGTGTTGATTTTGCCAAACCCGCATCTAGACTCATGTGAAAGAAGTCTGGGAGGGGCACCATTCAGTAAAGGAGCTAGATTCTAGCCGGAAAAAGTTGACTTTCAGAAAATGGCCATTAGTATGGTGGCTCTAATACCATGTGAAGGAAGAGGAGTATGCCTTGTAAAGTATTACATTAGGTATTAGAACCTAATGTAATACAAAGCTGTAGGATGGGCCAAGTCTACTTGTCTTAGGGTTTCAGCACACATAAAAAAACAATCATGGTCTTTTGTCTTAAAAATGCAGATGTGCTGTGATATGTTTATATTAGCCTATAAAGTATTACATTAGGTATTAGAACCTTCTACACATACTTTTACCGAGAAATGTGTGCAAGTTATGTCTTAAACAATCCATGTTTCCTATATTGACACAATCCTCACATTTAACTAATATAAACATGTAAGTTATGTCAAATTGTACCAATCGGCTCATCCCTGAGTCATGTCAAATTGTACCAATCAGCTCATCCCTGAGTTATGTCAAATTGTAAACCGGTTTTTCATAATGTTAGATTTAATGCGTTATACTTGATTATATATAAAATGCGAATCAAGCCATTAGCACATCTTTTGCAAATATCTTCTATTCAAAGCAGGAAGTCATTCTTTGCTATCTAGATAATTTGTCATCCATGCTTGTCTTTCTTAAATGTTTGAAGTCTCCAGGTTTTGTTTTGAGTCTCCAGGTTGAAGTTCTACGGAACTCTGATTTCTGTTTCTTCATTTCTTTGTGTATCTTCAAACAGTTGCACCGACAGTTCCCTAACTTACATGTTTATGCATTTGGTCCTCTCCCCTGTGTGGATCTAGTGGTAGCAGATGCATGTAAAGATTTTATAACCAGGTACTGCTAAATACAATGTGTAGTTGGGCACTCTAATTATCCTAAATATGCATTTATTTTTCCTTCTATGCAGTGAGACTGACATATAACTATGGAAATCCTCTCAGCATTGTATACAACGATGAGTTCTCAGCCCGCCTTTCGGTTGGATCAATTATGAGACTTCAAGCTGCTGCACTTCAGGCTCTTTCACAAGATGGCATTATGGATTTAACCACACTTTCTAAACTCTCACGCCAGTTCTTGCTTCTGAACATTTGTCAAGAGAATATGGATGACCCAAATCTTCCACAGTCACAAAATGGTATGATTTATTAAGATTTGAGGTTTCATCCAATAATATTAACCTGATATGACTATGTTAGTCCGATATGGGACACATACTTCAACGCGTCCCTTCAGTCAAATCGAACGGGACAACTTGAGAGTGAATGAATGGTTGAGTGCCAAAGAACAAACAAGCCACAATTGGACCTCACTTTGGTACCATATTTAAACTTCAAATTTCCTTCTTAAGTTTAAAAGCATATAGGTGGAGAATCTTAGAATTTTAAATGCTGATTTATTATTGTATATTTAATCGATGTGGGATAAATACATTAACATGGTTCAACTTTTTGATTTGTATTATCTTCTAAAATGGCACGTCCAACTAGCAGTTCTAGCATTGACTTTTACATTGATGCTTTCTCTCCAGCGACTAGGCAGGAGTCAAGTTGGAAAGTTGGAGCAAAACGCTGTAATCACAGAACTTGCTCAGCTGAGACATTGAGTAGTTATACCAATATGTTTACTCACTCTACTGATATGAACTTACATGATGATCCTATCACTCAATTTATGGAAGCTGTTCCTTGTTCGGGAAGCGAATCATCTTTGAATCTCCCAGAGATGTTTCTGCCTGGTCTTCTCATCCATATCATACCACATATGGATGACCTAAATATGTCTTTCTTGACCCGCTGGAGAACCTGGGATACAAGTTGTACATATAAAGCCTATATTGCAAAGAGAGAATCCTTCAGAGATTTCATAGTATCTCCATCTATTTTTCTTGATCATCTACCTTGGAGGTATGTTAAAACTAGACTTTTGTTTTCCCTAGACTGGAATAAACCGGACATAACTTAATCTTCAATTATAGATGTCATAAAGCTTTGAAAGCATTGTCAAAGGTACAAAGCCTTGAAGTACTTCCTGATAAACTGCAAATTGTATAATCAACAGGTATTGTTCAATAAAACTAAAACAATGCATGAATTTATATCGTTTCTATATCATTATCTACTTCAAATTTACAAACAACGGAAGACTATACAATTCATGTATTAGTATACATATCTGCATAAGAAACACATCCTTTTCTGGAAATTGTATATGCTTGCTAATTAGGTTCCACCTTAGTTTTTACGCTCATCTCTAAACCCCTGCAAAGGCCCACTCTATACGCTTGATGCAACCTTAACTAACCAAACTCTGCCCTTTGGCTACGGTTGTGCCAAGCTGAACCCAACTATGAATAGTGTTTGGTTTGTTTTTATCAAGTAGCACCTGGCTTTTGTTTTCCTAACATGTGTATGGCTCAAGAAATTATCGAGCATCAACGAGCTTGATAAATGTCAAGTATAATTCATACTCCCTCCATTCTTAAATAAATAACATGTACATAGTATTTATTTTTAAGATATTTATTTATTTGACCTGATTTTCCCACTTTTCCTCCTCCCCTTACCCTACTTTTCTCTCTTCTCTAATTCTCTACCTGTTCATTCTTTTTCTACCCGGTGGTACAAATTATTCAAGAACGGAGGGAGTATTATTCTTCAATTAATTGAAAAAATAATTTTACATTAAGAAGTACCAAGTATAGCATTTTTAGGACTATTTAATTGAAATTCAGAAGCTTGTTCAAATATGAGATCTTTCTAGTGAATATAAGAAGTGGCAAACTCGCACTAGATATTATTTCACTCAAGTCGCGTCCAACCCCACTTATCCCATCGTAGGTCGGAGCCTTTGCGGCACTGGGGTAATGATGATGATGTCGAAAGCAATTCACCGCATTAAGAAAAAGAATTATAAATAGTAATAAAAAATTGTTTCGCAAAATATTCTTTTAAAATTTCATGGTGGATAAAACTGTGATCTCTATGTTAGAAATAAATTTTAATCACACAGTTTGTAATTTGTTCAAAATAATTTTAATAAATAAATGAATCAAATTAGAGGTGGATCAAGTATGTACTTAGAATTAATTTAAATTGTGATTGTACATTTATATTTAAAAAATCAGTTTATATCTATTATCATGTGCAAAAATGTAATTATTAATACTTTGCAAATCACTCCCTCCGTATTGAAATGCTTGCTATAATAAGGTCTGACACAATATTTAAGGGAGAAGTAATAGGGGTAACGAATAATAGTGTAGAAAAAGTAGGAGAGGAGGTGGGAAAACATGAAAGAGAAGATAAAAATAGAAAAGTAAGAGTAATCGAGTTTTTTTAAAAGGAAACATACTGAAAAAGAAAGTGTAGCAAATATTTCAATGCGGAGGGAGTATATAATTGTATATATAGGGGTTTGGTGGGGGTTGAGGTGGCAATTGACGCCCAGCTCCCCTTCCTCCCTTCCTGGATCCGCCCCTGAATATCAGAAAACGCATCAAAATTGTAAATAGAATGCTTTGATAGTTTTATTTTTTGGGAACTAGCTTATCCATCCACAGCCAGGTTTGAGTTTGATACGTTTATTGTATTGAGCTTCAACAATTAAGCCCGGGCAAGCTTTACTGAACCAATATTTAAATAGTTCAAGAACCGTTTGGTTTATTTTCCTTCCTACGTCTTGCAAAAAGACAAACTAGTTTGGTGTACAACTAGGAAGTATATTATTCGCCTCATGTGCTACTACATCCGTGTCCCTCTATGTTTGGGACAAGAGAAAGTGGCACGGTTATTCATAAAAGTGGGTTTATGTGGTTGATATTGAATTGATAAAGTAAGAATAAAGTAGGAATGATTTAGAACCACACAAACTTTACCAAATAAGGTATGTGACAATTTTAGTGGGACGGACCAAAATGGTAAAATGGGACAATGATAGTGGGACGGGGGGAGTATATTTTATTGGGAGGAAAAAAAATCCTAAGAACCTGTGGACCATCTTTCTAGGGCCCACCCCCTCAGCACTCAGCATGCAATGGAGTTAAAAATAAAGTATATTTTGATTGGAAGTCTATTGTCTAACCTTTCTGATACTCGAATTATGAATTTTTGTCTTGCTATTCAGGTCTACTATATGGTTACTGCTTTTGACAATTTGCCAGTAATTGCCACATTTAAATTGTCAATTTAATATTATGTTTTGCAATGAAGGGCAGCCTGGAAATTCTCCAACGCCACACCCAGAGGTCACTGAGGCGTTACACCTTGAGTCCTGACTTATCCTCCTACTGTCCTGCATGATGCAAGTTACTCAGTATGCGGCATTTGTTATGTTTATTACTAGTGTTACTCATGTGCAGTCATTATTATCCAAACATAACTTGTGTAGACTACTTACTCATTGGTTTGCTTGTACATTTCTACCAATCGATAAGTACAAACAAATGTGTTTATGCACACAGGAAGCGTTTCAGTTCAACTAGTCTTGATTCACTCTCCCATATGAGTTTGAAACTCCACGAAGACACTTTCAGCCCTATTTATTCTAGGCCCCTCCCTGCCTTGACTCCTTTCAGGTAAAATAAATAAATGTGTCTGCACAAATTTGCAGCTCAGTTCAACCATCCCAGTAAACTTTACAGCCATTGGTGAGGGGCTTTGGAGATGGAGTGCATTTTAAAGTATCTTAGGATACTATGAGTCTATGACGGTGATAGTATCACCTGAATCATGCAGGGTTATGATATTCATAAAACCATTTACACGGTAGAATCATATGATTAACATAATAATTCAATAGACGGAATAAGGCACGGTCTAACTGCAAGATGACAGTAACTAGGAAAATAACTTGAGCAATACAGTCCGGAAACAACTCATGAACAAGTCTGGGCCTCTGGGGAAGTAATAATAAATAACAATATAACAATATATATCAAGATAATCCGAAAGAAGCTTCACAGCAACAAAGCTTTTGCATAATCTAATGCATGACTCAATAGGTTTTTGTCCCTTACCGTTCAACCTGATCATGTGCTAACATTTTCCCCCCATTATTTTAGGTGCATATGAAAAAGCACATTGGGTTCTCTTACAAAACAACCCAACTTGGTAATTGCATATACATGGACAACATTCTAAATACAAGCGGCTAGATTGCTAGAAGCATCTCTATTCATGTTTTTCAAATGAAGCATTTTTCTCTTATTCTCTATTATCATGTTATTTTCACACGGTAAATTTTAAATGAATTCAAAACTCAAAATACTCTTTCTGAGTAATAGTACTTGAATGACGAGCCCGTATACCATACAGTCGGCTATACGGCTTTCTCTGTATAGTCAGTGCCATTTTGGTAATCTAAGTGAATCGCGTCTTCCGCTAAATGAGCATCGAATCTATTCTAGTGTGTATTGAGAGTTTAATAATAAGCATCCTGATATTGGCTTCATACTTTATAATTTGTTTTTTTATTTTTCTTATTTTTAAAAATATCTACAATGAACTCATATGAATCCAATGTAATATACGTAGTAATACTTTTGAAAGATGCATAAATATGTCATTTTAAAATGAGTATTACACCAATACTAAATGAGCATACATAATTACGAAATGAGCATTGAAAAATTCAAAAGGCTCATTTAAAATCTCTATTATGCTCAACTTTTTATTTTTGTATGTTCATATCAGTAAAACTATGTATATCTACAATGAAATCGTCATACACCGCCGTAGAATAGCTGGAAATCGCCATCTCCGAGGTTGAGGTCCATCACCCATTGCTTGTGGCGGAAATCACTCGCCAATTGCAGGAACTCGCTGGTCTGTTGCTCATCGTCGTTGGAGGCTGCTCGCGACTTGTCCTGGCAGAACTTGCCTCGTCTCCTAGATCTATGCCCACCACCGGAGATTGCTGCTAATCGCTCGTGATTGAAGGTCGTTCGTCGTTGTTGTAGATCGATGTTGCTTGGAGCTCGGTGCTTTCCGTTTTCTGTCGTCGCAGGTGAGCAACAGCGGACAAAAGGCTGAGTTGTACCCTGCGCTGGAATGACAAGTTTATTTAGGACCTGCATATAATAACAACATTTGAAATGTTGATATCATTTTTTTGTAAATAATCCTTCCTCAATCAGAGTCCGTCCACTGTACAATCGGCTGTACGGTGAGCACCGTACAGCCGGTAGCATTTTTGTAATATAATGTGAAATTCGGGGTTTCTACTAAATGAGCAATAGTGTACTGTTACGGAGCAATAGTCCAATTTTAATGAGTATTAAGAGTCTAATAATGAACACCTCGTGTTATAACAAGAACGCTGATATCACAACTAAAAAACGGTGGCATTTTTGTAATTTCAGTTAAAATCGTGGTTTTTGTTAGATGAGCATTGGTACACTTTTAATGAGCATCAGACGTATTCTGCTGAGTATTAGGAGCCTCACAATAATCATCGTGATTTATGGTTCATATCTTCTAATTTACTTTCTTTTTCTTATTTTTTCTTTTACAAAAACTTATTAAATTATATCCATAATCAACTCCTGTGAACTTCAATATGTGAATCTAATGTAATATGGTAGTTTTGAAATATGCATTGATATGACATTTTAAAAATGAGCATAATTTGAGTACAAATTGAACATATGTAACTTACTAAATGAGCATTAATATGAAACTCATAATTTTTTTTGTTGAGCATCACGACAATTTTGTTGAACATCAAAGTTTCTATATTGAGTATTAGAAACATGCAATTGAATATCATGGTCTGTGATACCATATCTATAATCAACTCCTACATGAATCTAATGTAATATGATACTTTTGAAATATGTATCGACACAACATTTTTAAATGAGCATAACATTAGTATCAAATGAGTATAGATAATTTACAAAATGAGTTTCGGAAAATTCAAATGAGCATACATTACTCACAAAATGAGCATCGGAAAATTCAAATGAACATATATAACTTACAAAACATTCAAAAAAATCATATATATATATATATATATATATATATATATATATATATATATATATATATGTAACTTACTAAATGAGCATTAAGCATGAAACCTCATCGATTGAGTATTAGAAACTTGTAATTGAGTATTATGGTTTGTGCTTCTACACGATTGATATTTTAAAATGAGCATAACATTAGTATCAATTGAGCATACGTAACTTATAAAATGAGTATCGATAATAAATGAAAACTCATTTAAAATCTTTATTTTGCTCTAATATTCATTTGTGTATGCTCATATAATTATAATAAGAAGCCCATTAATGTATAGCTGGTACATAAAAATCGAAAGTCCAAAGATCTTCGGTACTCCAGTAACGTAGCAATTGAAAACCAATTTTCAAAGCAATTGGACCATCCAAAGTCCAAAAATTTCCAATAGCCTAGCAATTGGAAAACAACGTCCAAGAGCTCAGTGCGGAAGCCAGAGAAGTTCGAATGGGAGCACAGCGGATGACGATGATGATGCTCGATCGATGATGACAGCGGATGACAGATGAGGACGGTGAGGTATTAAGGTCGCATGCAGTTCGGAAATGGTTTCTCATCAAGCTCCTTCCAGCACGTGAAGGGGAATCTGAAAGTGAAGGGCCTGTCAATCGCCGTCGCCATAGCAGCTGAAGCCGGAAGCGAGGAAGATGGTCGACACCTGCGCACAAATCAGAAATTAGGGATTAGAAATTTATTGAAAGACTTAGGGTCTGTTTACTAACAGAAATATTTTCCAGTTTTCCAGAAAACTGGAAAACAGAAAACAGGAAACGTGTTTACCAAAGATATTCCTGGAAAACTAAAGAAAGGAAAAAAGAAAAACGCGTTTACCAAATCGTTTTCCAAAACGGAAAAAATGAAACATGTCTCTCTTTTCCTTAATGATTTGGAGAAGTGACTTTTACTAGTTTTCCAAATTTTGAAAACGCAGATGCTACAGTGCCTTTGCAATGAATTTGCATACTTACACCTAGTGGTGGGTCCGGTCCCGCTCCGATGTCGATTCCATTCCGATACCCCCATCCTCGTACCTTACCCCTTACCCCTACCCTACCCACCAAACCCCCACCCCACCCCGCGTACCCATTTTTCCCTATAATGACCTTACCCCACCCCCACCACATGTCCCGACCTCGGCCCCACCCCGATCCACCCTACCCTACTGCCACCCCTACCACCTCGACCCCACCTCGATCCACCCTACCCTACCGCCACCCCCTACCACCTCGACCCCACCCCCGACCCACCCTACCCTACCCCCACCCCTCGTATATTACCACTTACCCCTACCTTACCCCTTACCACATGCCTCCTACCTCGGCCCCACCCCACCGCCATCCTACCCCCACCCTCGTACCGCCATCCTACCCCCACCCCTACCCTACCTCGGCCCCCACCCTACCGCCATCATATCCCAACTCCCTACCATACCCCTACCTTACCCCAACCCCAAACCCTACCCACTACCCCCACCCTTACCGCCATCCTACCCCCCACCACCCTACCCCTTCCCTGCCCTGGCCCCACCCTGGTCCCGACCCCACCCTACCGCCATCCTATCCCAACTCCCTACCCTACCCCTACCTTACCCCAAACCCTACCCACTACCCCCACCCTTACATCCATCCTACCCCCCACCCTACCCCGGCCCCACCCTGGTCCCGACCCCACCCTACCGCCATTCTATCCCAACTCCCTACCCTACCCCAACCCTACCCACTATCCCACCCTTAACCCTAACCACGACCCTAACCCACCCACTACCCCCACCAACCCCCTACCTCTAGACCTTACCACCCCACCCCAACCATACCCCTTACCCCACCCCACTCATAACTTCCCTACCCCGACCCCTACGAGTAGGTATGGGTGGGTATGAAGGGTTTTGGTGGAGTATGGGCAGAGTGTAAGATCGTGGTAAGGGTAGAGGTAGGGGGTAAAGGGTGTGGAATTGGATAACTGTGTGAAAAAATTGATGAACATGTTTTCAAATTTGAAAATGAAAAACTAAAAAATAGAAACAGAAAATTGGAGATAGAAAAACTGAAAAATAAAAACAGAAAATTGGAGAATGAAAAACAGAAGTAGAAAACAGGAAACTATTTCTGTTAGTAAACATGCCCTTAAAGTTGCTGAATATTACAAAAATATCCGGTTGTACCATGCACAAGATACAGCCGGCCGTACGACAGTATTTGCGCCTCAATAACCACATTTGAAATAATTTGCCATATCATTTAGTTTGTCTCTAAATAAATCTAGTGTTGGGATCCCTCCTTAATTGGAAAGGTTCTAGAAAATTCTAGAGCTTTTTGGAGAAGTATAGACTTTTCTAGAAAGTTCCGGAGAATTCTAGAGAAGTCTAGAACTCTCTAGAAGTATGTGGAATAGTGTGGAATCCTCTGGAATATTCTAGAGATGTGTGGAACCTTCCGGAAGCTTATGGAAGAGTATGGAAGGATATGGAAGAGAGTGAAAGAGTATAGAGACTCCTAGAGTGTGTGGAGCATTCTAGAGAATCAATCCCCACTCTTGGATGGAAATCATCCTCACCATTCATTGTGAAGGTGGAGTAGTATAAATAGGGATAGGAGCTTCATTCCTAACCATCCTAGTAAGAGAGAATCCACTTCTTAGAGTGAGAAAGTTAGAGAGTCTCTTTGAGAGAAGAGAGATAGCTTGGGAAGTTCATATCCTCAAGTTTGAGTGAGACAATTTTGTAACATCCTTGTAAATCCTACTATTCTTTTGTATAGTGGAAGAATCTTCATATTGGAGAATTTAAATCGTGTGCTCTCATCGCTACCTAATTTCTTAAGTGCCTGTCTTAACTTCACGAAGCGGGAAAGTCCGGAGTTTTTTCCAAACGTCTAGGCAGTATTTGCGCCTCAATAACCACATTTGAAATAATTTGCCATATCATTTAGTTAAATCTAGTGCAATATTATACTCCGTACAAGTGTTGCAAACATTAACTCGTAATGTGTAATGGGCACTCGAATAAAGAAGTAAATTGTTGAGGGCTTTTGTCCACTGATAAAAGGAAAAAATGTGTACACATTTCATAATTTTACACACTTTTGTGAGGGTTTTTTGTTTGTAGATAGTGTGTTCACAGACAAAGTGTCTATAATATACTTATATAAGGACACGTTGATATTTTGTGTATTGTTTTTAACTGTGATGTGTAAACGAAGTGGTGATCCACACTCCGCAATATATAACTCACTTCCACAGTTCCATTCATAAAAACTGGTGGCAGCATATTAGAGCTGCCATGTGTCGATCATCAACTTTGCCCCTTGTTCAAGCATTGGGTTCTTCTTTTTAATTTTTTTCATACATAATAATATGTTTCTTAATTATCCCAAACCATAATATATCATACTTATGCTCTTGAGGCGGGCGTTTGACGATTTGGCCAGAGCACAGCATAGCCATGGCGGCTAGAGATACAAACAAAGCAGGAATTCGTTAGTCCATCCTTAATTCCTTACTAGTTGTTCCATCTTGCTATTAATTACACTTATTAATTTCTTAATTTGTCTGCACGCTTTAGATTTTGCTTCAAATTCTAGCTCTTCTTTGCCAGTATATTAGCTGGGAAATGAAAACAATTGTGCATATTAGTGAACTAAACGACCAGGGGCGGATCCAGAAATCTGTGCTCTGGGCTTCAGCCTACCATAGCCCGTACATAGATCCTCCCCTCTAAACGACACACTAGAAGCACATAAAACAGGAAATCAAATAATTATGATCAAAATTCATCAATTGCTTTACATAAACCATCATTTATTAAATGGCTAGTTTGCAAGAGAATCAACTACTTCTGCTCCTTTTTAATGTGGGGTCTTTTTTTTGTAAAAGATACTCGTTTATGCACATGGAACATACGGTCATTGGGTTTTTCCTCAAATAGTACTAATAAAAAATGAAGGACAAAAATTTTACACCCTAGTAACTTGCATGTAATTGTGAATTTAAACAGTGACTAATAATTACTAAATTATTAGTAATTATTCCCGATTTGGCTTGGATAGGAGTTTAAGAAGGTGAAAATAAAGTGGAAATGTATGGTTGTGATGAAGTAAGAAAAGAGTAAATGAATGGTAGTCACACAAAACTTTCCGAAAGGGTCCAGAAAGGGAAATGTGAAGAATTTTTAGGGACGGGTGAAGTAATATTTTTATCCCGCACATTTTAAAGAGTAATATGAATGGGATTTTCTATTTATTCTCATTTCTAGCGATTAACTTTTAGAAAAGTAATTATGTAAACGTGGCCATTGTTTTGTTTTCAGAAGAGTAGTTATGTAAACGTGGTCATTTTGAATTTAAATAAATGAATGAAACGTTTGTTTGATTTATCTAACATGAGTGTTTTGTTTTTACTGTGAAAATGGATGGTATATTTGCAATCTATAGTTCACTTAATTGCGAGTAGTTCTAATTTACCAATCAATCCAATCATCCTAATTTAACGGGGTTACTAATGTCATTGGTTCACTCATTAATTAAGTAGGTAATTAATAAAAGTCATGTTGGGGTGGGCTGGATAAAGAATTTGTTCCTATACATTTTCACACATACTCCGTATTTCTTTACAAGTAAGAATAAAGATTTTTATCAAAAAATGGAGTGGGCAAGGCACGGGTTGGCTCCCTTGGCTACGTCCATGTTGAGGCTCATTCATATGTGACTTTTGTTGTGTAAACTATAAGGATACTTCTTTTGACATGCACATAAGCATGGATAAGTTCCCGCTCCCGACCAGCCAGTCCTAAAAGAATTAGTGAGACGGGGAGTCCCGAACTTGGTTCCAGGCAGGGGCGGATGCACCCTTTGGAGGATGGGGGCACTAGCCCCCAATAACCTTTGTCTTTTTTAGTATTTTTTTATTATTTTTAATCAATTAATTACTTGTGCCCCCAACCAAAAAATATGAGTGCCCCCATTAAATAATCCACAATCATTTTGGAATGTAAGAGATGCATAGAGTCGGCCCATTATCTATTCATGTTTTGTAAGACTCAGATTTTATCTTCTAAACATTATGTTATTCTAATTTTTAAAGCCTAAAGAAAGAGTAGTTTAAGAGTTGAGAAAGAATATTCGATTTTCAGTTACCAAATCAATTTTCCAAGAAATACACCTTCTATAACTCGATTTGTCAATTATTTGTTCGAATAATAAAGATTTAAAATTACTTTTTTTTCAATCTTTATTTTCATAATCAGGTTTATTAAGTTTTGATAATTTTCAAAAATATTATTGACTACAATGTCATGGTCATTGGCCACATAAATACTACTATATAAAAATTGAACCTAAGCTATTATTAGTAAAATTATTATCTTTTAGCTTTTTAGCTTTTGGCTTAAAAAAATCGAAAAGAGTGTTTTCAAATGACAACTTTTGTTTAAATTAATCACTTAAAAATTAAAGTTGGAAGCAGGTGGAAGGGTGCTTTAAACTACTTTTCACCTTTTTATTACACAAAAAACACTTATTTTATGAAACACTACCAACTTTTACTTTTTCAGAAACACTTTTTTCTCAAACACTGCCAATTTTTACTACGTAGTATTAAGTACTTTATCCAAAATCACGCTAAAAATCATTTTTTTGAAGTAGAAGCAATCGCAGATACTCCCTTAAAGTGTTTGAGCGATGTCTCAAAATGTTCCTAGAAACAGTTTTTCAGAATCTGAAAACTGATTCCGATTTTACTTTTGCTTTTAAAAAAAGGAAAAACAAAATTTTCAAACACCTAGTGCCCCCAATAACCGCATTTTTTAGATCCGTCCCTGGTTCCGGGTCACCCGACAGTCCCAGTCTGGTCCCGATTTAGAAACGATTTAGTTTTTTCATAACTTTAAGTTATGAACCAATCCATTTTTTAAAATAGGCCACATTTTGGAACCACTCCCAACAAAGATTTGGAACTGGATATATAATTTATAGTCATGGTATTTATAGGAAGAGGAATGTAGAACAGGTCAATAAAGACGATCTTACATTTATTTTGTTGAAGTGACTTTCACTCTCTAAGGGTTGTTTACTTTTTTTCTATCAAGCCCTCTCTAGATGAAGATGTCACTATGATTAAGATATATGTCTGGGTTGTATATGAGGTTATTTGTTTTGTGTGTTTATAAATAGTCTGAATTGAATAAAATAATCAATTTAGTATTATTATTGGATTATAATGTCAATGGGAAATTTCATTTATTAACATAAATCTATTCCATAAATGACTTTAAAAATTGACATAAAAGGTGTATTAATGTGAATGATTATTATTTTCGAGATTAATGATTAAGACAATTATTTGATTGAATGATTAAGTCATGTTTTCAATTAAGTTGTACGTAAATATGACTTAATGGTTGCATGATTAAGTCATTATCCTCATTAAGTCCATTAAGTCGGAAGTAAACAGGCCCTTGGAGAAGAGAATAAGTATGGGGCTCAAGGCCTTTATTTCCAGTTCTGAGCCAATTCTGTCCCCCGACAATCTTGGTTTGGTCACATTTTTATTTTTTTATTTTTTAAAGTTTTAAACCCTCCACCCCTCCCCAGTCCCTACCCTTTTTCAACTTTTAAATATACCCCACCCCTTTTAAAATGCTTCACAATGGTTTAAATGCAAACAATTGCAACTTGATGTGGGACTGGGTACTGGTCCCAAAATTTGAGGCCCAAAATATGACCTCTTTCTTTCCCGTGCGGAAATGAAACTAGCTTGAAACCTTGTTTTCCAGTCTCGGTCCGGAAATCAACCAGTCCCAGTCTGGTCTACCCCTAATCTCATACAATCATTACAACGATATTCGTATCAAATGATATTATTTACCTAAATTCTTTCCTAATGACCCATAATTAGAAAATAACAAAGAATAAGAAAAACAGGGCATCATAGAAAAAATTTGGGGTGGGAAAATTGTCGAGGAATTTAAACATTGGTTCGAACTAATTAATAAATTCAGGTTTTTTGTTCCCATTTTTTAAATATATTCCTATTATATAAATGCTAAGAAGTCTAAATGTGAGTAAATTTCTAAACAACATTAATTTTGTTCCATTCTGCTTTTAATTTTTTTCTTGACACTTTCTTTTGAGGGTGGGGATATCGGTTTTCGGTTCGGTTTTTATCGATTTTCGTTCAGTTCGGTTTAGAACGGATTGGAAGAATTATTACTAAACAAAAACCATACTATTTTTCAGTTCGGTTTAGTTCAATTTGGATTTGTTATTTATATTAACACATGAAAGTTTTATTGAAATTTTTTAGTTTGGTTCAGTTTTTTTCAATTTCAGTTCAATTCGGTTTAATACGGTTTGAAAGAAATACTACCAAACTTAATCCAAATTGCATATGGTCGGGTTTCGGTTTGGTTTAGTTCAATTTGGTTCGGTTAGTTCAATTTGGTTCGGTTAAACCAGACCGATATGTCCACCCCTACTTTTTTCATTCAGATAGCATACACACCCGCACACACGCATTGGGATGTAATATTATACCATTATAGTCCAAATTACATCCCTCCTAAATGTTCTCCCCTTTTCATTAGGCACTGAGCTCGTATGGTTTCGAAATCAATTAGAACGTAAGAAGCAAAGGATGGTTATATTTGGAATTTCCCTAAAAGGAATAATGAACATTTTGGGAGGGGAAATAAAAGATTAATGGAATGCGAGCATTTTTCATTGCTTAATGAGGTGGATGCATGCCCAACTATCCATGAGTAAGATGCTAATTGGTATTGGTTTGCTGCAGAAGAGTTGGCAGGAACATCATGGAGAAGGAAAAGAAGCAGGAGCATCTTTGAAACTGACAACCTCAGGCCTAGGCGGAGACTGAGAATGAAGAAGCATTATTCCATGAAGAAAGTAGCAGAGGCGGAAGATGATCATCCTTGTGGTGAATCTCTTAAACCCGAGACACCTAAACAGTTGACACCTCGAAAGCGCCGTTCAGCAAAGAATAACAACTTATTGGTACATAAAAGCCAGTTAATTAAAAAAGAACTAGTCACAGATGTCAGTAAGGAGGATATGAGAAGTTACTGTACAGGAAAAGAATGCAACCTTCAGCAAGCACTGAACTCTAATGCACAAAAGTCTAGAAAGGATAACCCGGCCATTGTAGACCAACTTTATGGCATTCAAAGTTCTCAGACTTCACACAGCATTGGGAGGTTGGATTCAGACTCTCTAAAGCAGATGCACTACGTATGTCATAACAATTACACTACTTTGGCCATTTGGAATGATTTCCTTGTATCGATATGAATTTCATTGTCATAGATAGTGTAACTATGAGTATATTGCAGGTGTACTGTAGAAGATCTCAAGGGGAGAAGATTATGCCATTCTTTCGAAATATGAGAACAAAGAATTTTAACTTCATGCGCATTCTCTCTGAAAGTATGAATGAAGAGGTCAAAGGTAGAAATCATAATACACACTTTTCTTGAATTTGCAGGGGATCCTGTTAAACTGTTCTGATGCCCACGTCATTCACATCTTATAGGGTCACATAAACTAAGCAGAAAAAAGGTTATCAGTTCGGCTCTTAGCAAAGAAAGGTCTCCAGGTGGCAAAAAACAAAAGGAATCTATCACCAAGAAGAAGAATATTGAACAGAGAGCCCTAGTAACCATCAAGGAGAAAAAGTTGACAGAGGTCAAGTTAGAAGCAAAAGTTGACCTTGACATCGATACAATAAAAGAGTGGGAATGGTTGATGGGAAAATCAGAAAAAGAAGAAAATGAGGACACTGAAATGGCTGAGAAGTATAAAGAAAAATGGGAGAAGGAAAGGGAGCTTTTCCGAGGACGAATTGCATCATTCATTTCCCGCATGCATATTATCCAAGGTAATGTTGCAACAACTTTATACAGAACATCCAATGTTTCATCTGCTCAACTTTATCTTTGTGGTTCTCCAAATAATTGTGCACTCAAACTTGCATAAACCAAAGTATATATGCTAGTATAAGACGAACTATCAACTTCATAGGTAATAGACGATTCTCTCCCTGGAAAGGCTCAGTTGTAGATTCGGTAGCAGGAGCATTTCTAACTCAAAATGTATCGGACATCTCATCAAGGTAAGTGTTAGTCCCTAATTGGTACGTGCAAGAAACTTTTTACCGACCATAAAAAATGAGAGAAAGATGGTGAATGTAAGAGGATGTGCATCATTAACTAAACTTACTGGAAGCAAATACTTTTGCAGCTCTGCTTTCATGTCACTGGCTGCTCACTACCCAAACAGAGACATAAGTAGCAAAATGTCAGTGCCTTCAGTGGAAAGTGACTCAATTGACAAAAGGCAGATTAAAAATCTAAGCACGGAAGAAAAGGAGAAGGAAGTAAATAGAAAAGAAGTTGTAATGAATTTTTTAATCAGGAAAACAGAGAAAGAAGGATACAGTGTCAACCATCGAGATAATATAAGAAAGTTGTGTGCTCAATTCGATGATAAAATGAGAACTGATGATACTACATCCAGTGCTTTAGATTGGAACGCGGTTAGCTCTTCTCATGTCGATGACATTTCCAAAGCTATTACAGATAGAGGAATGGACAAAAAACTTGCTGAGAGAATAAAGGTAAATCAAGATCAATTGAAGACTGTTTCACTTCAAATGATGAACTTAAATACTATATGTTAAGCCATTGCAACTCATTCTGTGTGTTTTTATTTCTGAAGAATTGCATTGATCTTCTCAAGAAGGAGCTTGGGAGTATTGATCTTGAATGGCTTCGAAATGCTCCACCTGAGAACGCAAAGTAATCATCTTTCTTTTTTTGTACTTCTGCATTAACTTTTATTCAACCAGAAGTTTAAGAAAATTTAGTGCATTCTAGTACTTAGAGACCTATCCTTGTTTCGCAGGGAATATCTTTTAAGCATATATGGCTTGGGATTGAAAAGTGTTGAATGCATACGGCTTTTAACCCTCCAACACCAAGCATTCCCAGTAAGTTGATCACTTTACGATGAAAATATAGACTTTTAGAAGAAGAAGAAGAAGAAGAAGAGAATTAGGGCTTAGAGCTTATCTTATTCATAAGAATTGTGTGTGTGCGCACACACACACATATGGTGTGCAGAGGCGGTTTGTACAACCTCAATAAGATAAGAATCGTCAATATATTATGATCATATCTCTAATATATTGCAATCATATCTTTAATATATTTCCTGCAATTTCATTATGATTTGTTTCCTTCTATACGACCCACAAGCCAGATATTTGATCACAGTCAAGAATCATGGGCAGGAGAAACGGTTGTTGTGGCAATGGTTTTGTGAGAACATCGGTCAACTGTGCATGGGAAGGGATATCAAGGACGGAAAGGAGACCACGAAGGCCACAAAATGGAAACCAATCGTCTCTTGCTTCATGCGGGAATGGAACACTGGACTAGCAGACAAAGTCACGGCACCCTTGTTGTCACAAAGGAAATTGGTGACACCGGAGGGCAACCCCACAATTTGTGTAAGAGTGATTCGATCCTGATCACTTCGGAGGCATCGATAGAAAGGGCACGATACTCAGCTTCCGTAAAAGATTTGGCAATGGTGTATTGTTTGGCGGACTTTCAAGATATTAAACAGTCATAAATAGGAAGAGATCGGCATGAGTAAGAAACTATAGGAAGAAGCAGTGCCCTTCAGGTGGCGCAAGACCCGCTGACCTAAATGCCAATGATTTGTCATTGGTTCATGCATGAACCAAACAGAATGGTCGGTCGGGTGAGGCTCGAGTATTGCACTGAAACGAGTACCTGCCTATAAAGGGGACATCACATGTACCAGAGCTATCAAATAAATTTAATGAAGCAAAGGGCACCAATGAGGTAGCCACTAAATTTGCACCATCCATTTTAATGCTGCTTAACAATATATAATATATTGATGTTCATCAAGAAACAAACCCTTGTTGTTACGAGTGACTTGATCTACATAAAAAATCATGAGTCTTTAATAGTGTTTTTTGTCCCAAAGAGTCAATAGTGGTGTGAAGACCGTTGCAATAATATCGTCGACACAAATTAACACATAAATGTGTCTCCCTTTGGAGGAGAAAATTAAGAGATTCGTGCCAGAGACAGATTGACAAAATCAAGAGAGGAAATCACACAATGAGTTCTACCATACATGAGGGGTCTGTTTGAGCCCGTTGATAGATTCTCAAAGGCGGCACAGAGAAAACCAAAATCCTTATTAAAATCAGAAGATGCTTCATGTAGACTTCTTCTTAAAGATCCCCATGCAAGAAGCACGAAAGAGTAACGGTAAGAACCACTTAAGTATTAATTGGTTTAGTCACCAGTTTGTATTTGTCAGAACTCAGAATATTCACTGTAGTGATGAAAGCGCTTGCTACCAAATGAGCTTTAAACTGATCTAAAGTGTCATCCGGTTTATATTTGACTGTGTAAACCCATTTACAATCCACAATATTCTAGTTCGAGGAAAAATCACTTCCTAAGTACCCTCTTGAACTAAAGCATCTGATTCCATTGACATAACTTCTCGCTACTCATGTACCTCTAAATCCTGAGACTGACAAGTAGAAGCAAAACTCCCTCCATCTCATTTTTGTTGTCTTACTTTCTTTTTTGAGTTGTCCCAAAATGAAAGTCCAGTTTTCTTTTCTGGCTGGATATATGCAGTCTATATTATTTACTTTATTATACTCAAATCTCAACCAAAATTTTTACTTTTCAACCACTTTATTAATAATTGTGCCAAACTATAACAAGACATTCAATATGGGACAGAGGTGGTATGATGAGGGAACGAGTTTGCAGTAACGGGGATAGCTTGTTTACAGAGTCTAGTGTCATAGGTTAGGTCCATGTAGGTTTAGATTCATGTTGGGAGTGTAAATGGGTTATTGACGTTGGATCGATGCCATAGTTGTGCTCTAGTCTAGTTCAGATTGCATTGGAAGTTCAATCAGACCCAATAAAGGGTTTACATCCAGAATCCTAACATATACGCATGCCGTAGTAGATCTGACCACTTGCCCGTAGCAACTTTTAGATGATTGCTATAATCCATAACTTAATAATTACAAAGGAGAGCTGATCTTGCCGGTGCCGTTGGAGATGATTGGCACGACCACAGGAACGGTGGGATGACAATTGGAGTACCAATCAATTGGAGTGCCAACCCCAAACTCTTTTGAGACTCAGGCTTGGGTGTTGTTGTTGTGCCCATTGATTGGGATTAAGCATGAGTCCATCAAGAGTTGTAGAATTGATGATTGTGGTAGAAGAGGTCCCAGTGATGAGTGTGGATTGTCTAGCGAGAAGTTTACTGTTCTTGGAGATCCTCCGGGTGTGTGATTTTGTTGTTGTTGGCCATGAGAAAGAAGAAGGCCGATTATACCTCTTATGGCTCTGATACCATATAAACTTTTATAGAAGAAGAGAATTAGGGCTTAAAGCTTATTATCTCTTTCATAAGAATTATCTACATATGTGTGTGTGTATATATATATAGAGTGGTCTTCTTGTCAGGCCGGCCTGACGGGATGCTCCGTCCGGCCGAGCCCGTTTGGGCACCTTCCCGGTGGAATTTTTTGATGAAATTTTTTGAACATGTTCCTCATCAAGTCTAGTTTGTCCATACCAAATTTCAGCTCAAAATGTGATCGGGAAGGCATTCAAATCATCTTTTGAAGTTGACTGCAGTTTCATGTGTATATTTTGACGCAGTCACCTTCAAAAAATGATTTGAATGCCTTCCCGATCGAATTTTGAGCCGGAATTTGGTATGGACAAACTAGACTTGATGAGGAACATGCTCAAAAAATTTCATCAAAAAATTCCACCGGGAAGGTGCCCAAACGGGCTCGGCTGGACGGAGCATCCCGTCAGGCCGGCCTGACATGAAGATTTGTCATATATATATATATATATATATATATATATATATGTATATGTCTGTGTGTGTATGCATGCATGGTGTATGGGGTGTACATGTGATTTGTCTAACCTCCACAAGGTAAGATCACTAATATTTTACAATCATATACTCCCTCCGTCCCTCAAAACTTTGCGAAGTTTGACTAGTACGAGAAATAATAAAATAAAAATTATGTGATTGAGGGGTTTGAGGCTTGTGCAGGGGAGGTAGAAATAATAGGAACCACAAATTCACTGATTAATATGGAAAGTGGCAAAGTTTTTTAGACGATCAAAAAGGAAAAGATGACAAAGTTATTAGGGACGGATCTGATATATTTCCTAATCATATTCCAAATACATTAGCTATGGTTTCATTATGAGTTGTTTCCTTTTAAAGAAAAGTGCCTTAATCTACTGAAAAGGTACATTTATGTTTTGAAAGTTTTGGTATTTGGAGTAAGATCGTACTTCCTCCTCATCATATTATATGTCCCATTTGCTTTTTCACGTAATTTAAGATTAATTACTCTAGACTATATAAAAAGTAAAAGGCTTTTAGGGTGAATTTCTTTCCAAAAAGGCAAATGGGACAATTAACTTGATACATCCCGACAATTAATTTAATACTTCCCAAAAAGGAAACTAGGATACTTATTTTGATACGGAGGGAATAGTAAATATATCTATTTACATGGAATATACCATTATCGTTTTACTTCACTGATCCAATTAGGTTGACATCAATGTTGGCCGTGTACTAGTTCGTCTGGGATGGGTTCCTATTCATTTACTGCCAAATAGCCAACCAATGCATCTTCTGAAAAAGTAAGTGATATTTCATTATCATTAAGTACCCGTGTATAAGTGCACAGCAATAACCATAATTTTCTTTTACACCTCTATTATTGTTATCATTCATTACGATATAGGTATCCACATGTCAACTCTATTCACAAGTATATTTGGCCACGGCTATGCACACTTGATCACTTAACCCTGTATGTAGATGATCTCTTTCTATCAATGTTGTTCTTCATCAAGAAGTGCATAATTAAGTATTCAGTAGTAAAGTGAAAGAACCATTCATCCATTTTGCAGGTATGAATTTCACACCCAGATGATCACGTTTGGAAAGGTAGAACGTGAGTCTTCATAAGTTTTTTAAGTATCTTGTTTGCATGACAAGAAAAGTAGCCACTGTAAATTTGATTTGATACAGGTGTTTTGTACAAAAGAAAGACCAAATTGCAATGCTTGTCCAATGAGAGCAGAGTGCAGGCACTTTGCAAGTGCTTTCACAAGGTAGGTTTGTTTCAACTACTCTATATATTGCTATAACATCTCATGATCTTTTCTTTTAGGCATTGAGTGTTATCATTTATAATCTTTGATGTTGAGCAAATAAATACTCAACTTCTTAATGGAATTGTTTAGATTAAGGATTCTTGTGCAACTATGATGCTAAATCTATACAAATAAAATTTTTAGAGTTTGAAGTAAATTTCTGTAAAAAAAGGTTACCTGGCTATTGTGTACTATTTTAAGCTAACAAGAGGTGCCACAAAACATTTTGAATGTACCTTTTATCTTTCATGCAACCTAAACACTAACATGGATGCAGTGCAAGCCTTACCCTGCCAGTGCCGCAGGAGAGAAGCCTAGTTGGTCCAGTTTATCCACAACCACAAGTTGATAATTCCATCAACACTGAACAGGCACTTCTTACCTTAGCTGATGGCACTCCACCATCAGCTGATGATTCAATCAAAACTGAAAAGGCACTTGCTATCTTACCTGAAGAACGTAATTTGTCAGAGAGCAGTCTAGTTGGACCTGTTTATCAACAATCAGCTGATAATTCCATCCGCACTGAAAAGGAACTGGTTATCTTACCTGAAGAACTAGAATTGTCAGAGAGAAGTCTAGTTGGTTCTGTTTATTCACCATCAACTGATAATTCCATCAACACTGAAGAGGCACTTGTCACCTTACCTGGAGAAGGTGACTTGTCAGAGAGAAGTCTAGTTGGTTCTTTTTGTCCACTATCAGCTGATACTTCTGTTGACTCTGAAATGGCACTTGTTACTTTGCCTGAAGAATGTTGTGGCTTGTCAGAGTTGGGGCATTTGCCAGTCTGTTGTGAACAAGGTTCTGGTGAGTATCCACTACTTGATCAAGTTGAATCAACAGAAAGGGATATGGAAGATCTTGGTGTTGCTGAAATACCAACTATCAAATTCGATAAGAAGACATTCATGGAAAATCTATTGACCTATATGGAAGAGAGCAGAGTAATGGAGGACAACCTAAATCTATCTAATGCTTTGATAGTTGCAGCTCCAGAGGCTGCATCCATCCCTTTACCTAAATGGAAAAGCATAAGCCGTTTAAGGACGGAGCACCAAGTGTACGTACAATATGAAGAAGCTTCAATTGTCACAATTGCATCTTTTCGATCATGTATTTTATTCAACATGCCTTAACATTTGAAATATTTTCTCTGTATCCACTTGATGCAGCTATGAACTTCCAGATACACACCCACTTGTTATTGGGGTTAGTTTTTAACAGTCTTCAACTTAAAAGAATTGCAATCTTCTATTTGTTTTACATAACTGTGATGTTGGAGTGAAACTATATAACATTTGAATGCAGTTAGAGGCGCGAGAACCAGATGACCCTTGTCGATATCTGCTTGCTATTATTAAGAAACCAGGTAGGTTTAGAGCAATTTAGCTCCATAGTGTCATAGTGCTACTGTATAAACATCTATATAGCTTTGCCATTCTGATCTTGAAGATCAAAATAGTGTTGTCCTCTGATATGTTTCATGTGACCTGCAGCAGATTCCTCAATGACTTCGAAAAACAGACCGGAAGAAGAAGATGATGTTGAAACAATTCAAGGAACACTTCTGGTGAGATAACATGAATTTATTGTGTCCATACAAAATTTGTGAGTAATTCCCAGCATATTTGACAGTCTGATCGGAATTAAGAACTGACCTGTGATGGTTACTCAGATACCTTGCAGAACAGCAACTAAAGGAAGATTTCCACTCAATGGAACTTACTTCCAAGTTAATGAGGTGTGATGTCACTGATGTGTTGAGCTTGCTAAAAACTTGGCTTATAAGTCTCTGTTGACATGTAAGCTGAGGATCCTGATATGGTCAACGGAAACATCCTTGCAGGTATTTGCTGATTATGAATCCAGTAAGCAACCTATAAGCGTTCCGAGAGCATGGGTATGGGAGCTGAGAAGAAAGACTTTATACTGTGGAACGTCAATAAAAACAATATTCCGAGGTAGAGTAGAGACAATATATACAATGTAATAAATGCTTCAACTTACATTGGTTTCCATAGCTCCCTGATGTGTGAAATAAACAGGGATGTCAACTGAAGATGTGCAGAGATGTTTCTGGGAAGGTATGATGCTGCAAAACACCCCCATACCATTTTAGACTTTGCTCTTATGTTTGGTTAGTGTTAAAACAAATCTTGTGATGGATACTACCGATAGACATCAACCCTCTCTTACTAACATCATTCGGTATCGCCATTTTTCGTATCTTAATTTCCAATCCAATTGAAAGACAGTGTGGAAAACTGGAAATGTGTTCTAATTGTTAAAACAAATCTTGTGATGGATACTACTGATAGACATCAACCCTCTCTTACTTACATCATTCGGTATCGCCATTTTTCGTATCTTAATTTCCAATCCAATTGAAAGACAGTGTGGAACACTAGAAATGTGTTCTAATTGTTATAACAAATCTTGTGATGGATACTACCGATAGACATCAACCCTCTCTTACTTACATCATTCGGTATCCCCATTTTTCGTATCTTAATTTCCAATCCAATTGAAAGACTGTGGAAAACTGGAAATGTGTTCTAATTGTTGCATACAGGATATGTTTGTGTAAGGGCTTTTAACCGCAAAACCGGAAATCCATTGCCTCTTCCGCCAGAACTGCACCTCCCAGTGAGTAAGACTGTAAAGTCCAGGATTGAGAAAACAAAAGAAAAGACGCCAGAACTTCACCTCCCAGTGTGTAAGGCCGTTAAGTCCAGGACTGAGAAAACAAAAGATAAGACGCCAGAACTCCACCTCCCAGTGAGCAAGGCCGTAAAGTCCAGGATTGAGAAAACAAAAGAAAAGACGCCAGAACTCCACCACCCAGTGAGTAAGGCATTAAAGTCCAGGATTGAGAAAACAAAAGAAAAGACGCCAGAATTCCACCTCTCAGTGAGTGAGGCCGTTAAGTCCAGGATTGAGAAAAGAAAAGCAAAGACGCCAGAACTCCACCTCCCAGTGAGTAAGGCAGTAAAGTCCAGGATTGAGAAAACAAAAGAAAAGAGAGACAGAAAAGGAAGTAGCAAGCTCCAACCCTGACTACAATTTCAATTCTGCGCCTATGTAGATATATGTAGGTTAATCTTTTTTGTCAAACCTTTTTCTTGTGCATTACCTGGAGCAGAAATGTCGTTTTGATGCCATGCGAGATGTGGGACAAGTCCTCCAGCAGTTGAGTTGCAGGAGAATGTAGACCACCTGAAGAAATGGGGCAGTAATTTTTGCTTCTTGTAAAAAAATGTCCTGAAGTATATATGTATAAATATTTCTAAACTGTAAAAATACTGTATAGCTTGATGTATTAAGCTTTACACCGCAAATTTTCAACCCTAATGATACATTTCTGGCTCCATACATGAAAAACCCGGCTATTGAAAGTCGATGCTGATAGAACTCGGTAGAAATTTGTTCCAGCTTCGCGAATCACAATCTATTATCACCTTGGTGCATATCCTCTATTTCCCAGACCAGATGTTTTTATTCTCCTCCCTACCTTCGCTGGTCTTCTTCTTTTAAGCTCAAAAACCGGTATTTGACTAGAGGCTAACCCACAAGCTCAGAAACCTGCTACGGAGTATTTGCGGTCTTTTCGTAAATTGAGGAAGCGCCACCATTCCTGAAGCTACTTATGGACTGCTTTTTTGTTTTGCACATTTTTTAATTTGCTCAAATTAGGCTAATATTAGATACACAGTGACATTTTGGTGAATATTGCGAAACATCCAAAAAGTGAAAAAGCGAAACATCAATGGCCAAGTTCAAATAAAAAGTGCTTCCTAAATGAAAAGTAATAATTAATCTTGATCGGCCATTGATGTGAAAATTTTGGTGGAATAGATCAAATTTTAATTTTAAAAAGCGGTGACGTCTTTGTAATTATGAAGAACTTTCAATGAAAATATTGCAAGAATTGTGAACATGAATACATAAAAATGCATACAGATGGTACAAATTAAAGTGTATCAGAAGTTGAGAACACAAAATAAAATATGCATAAGTCACAAGAAATTTATAATCAGAGAGAGTATTGTTCATATCAAACCGGCTGTCATGTGAACTATATATTTGAATTGGCCGAAAATGAAGTTTATGATCCAACTCTTTTCTTTTATTAGTATCAACTACTATCGTATTAGTTAGTGTGGAATGGAACACGGTTCATTTTTTTGTCTGATCCAATGCTACAGAGTAATGAACAAAATAAGTAAAGTTGGAATTACTTTTTCATTAAATTGATTGAAGTTATTGTAGGAGACAATTTAGCTCTTTTTCGTACAATAATTCCTTCAATTCATTATTATTATATTTGATACAATTTTTTCAGAATTCAGCAAATTCAACTACGTTGTTGGAGTTAGAGTTTCACAATTTCCAGTCAATTAAACAATTTTAGTGTTATCCAAAATGCTCTATATTTAAAGATCAAGATTGTTAAAATAGTTCTTTTGAATCGAATTCTTTTGAAATTGAAGCATGAGATCAAATCGGAAAAGGATTATAGATAAATAAACAAAAAAAACGCTCAAATTGATAATACTTTGTCATCTCATGATTTGTAAATGTACATTTGAGGTCATAAACAAGTTAAGTGAATAATAAATATCAAACACATGTAATTAAAGGAAAAAGATTGTTAAATAATTCAAGCATACATTATATTCATTATATTAGTGATCTTATTACCATTGAAATTGTATATTAAAATTGCATGTTCAATATTAATATATATGGTAGTACTTAAATGTAGTACTTAATACTAGTAGTACTTAACTATTAGTGTCTATAATTGTGCTCAAAGTTTACATCGTAGTACTTAAATGTAGTTACTAGGATGTAACTTTGAACACAATTATAGTAACTAATAGTTATCAGGTCACATATTTGCCCATCACTTTTCAAGGAGTAATATCAACAAAATTTCAACTAAAAGTCCACAACTATGGGTTCGTTATTATTTTATGCAATTTTAAATGAATACGTACAACTCTAATACGTTGTTATATGATTTTATATTGATGATTTTATTTGTGATTCAAATCGATTTGTTGATGTAGAACAGAACATCATATGACTTTATTATTTAAATCGTGATTATAATATTATTACTTCCTCCGTTCTTTTTTAGTTGCAACGGTCATCATTTCACACTTGCCAACGCACGTCTTTAACCGTAATTATATCTTAATCTCTATTAGTAAAAAATATTTAAAAATTAGATTTTGAAAATTTGTAATGAGATTAATTGAACAATATTTTTTAAGAAAATAATTTTCATAAAATAATAATATAAAATGTAGTCAAAGTAGAACATGTGAATAGTGTAAAATTCAACATGTTGCGATTAAAAATAGACGGAGGATAGTATTAAAATAAGACCAAGATAGTCGGCTTTATCAATCTATAGTCTACTGTAATCTCACTTTGTAGTGTCGATTGTAGTGTAATCCTTAGCGTCATCGCACTTTCTCCTCTTTTGAGAGGCTATTACTCCCTTTCCTCATATCATCGTCCTCCTTTCCTATTTTCGATTTTCATATTTAGATCTATAGTTTGAAATCATCATCAATGGCATCAAATTTGATTTCGGTTCACACACGATCGTCCCGTCTCCCACCATTGCATTTAATTTTACTTCCTTTCTCAGTTTGTTCCCGTTTTCAGATTTCATGTTCAACTCCCGACTTAAAAGACTCGATCACTTCAATGATTACATCGAAGGAATCTGACATCCACACCGTGAATTGAAGGAGGAAATGACCGCTTTTCAATTGAATAAGGTAAGCTAATAGATCTATATTTTTGTTAATTTTTAGGTTGGTTTATGCCACATGAAATAGTGGGATACAACTCGAGGCTTTATGTTCATATTCTATTTCTTCTCTCTTATGTCACTTACTCTCTTAGTCTTATGCTTTGATTTCTTTTTAGTGTTTCCAAATATGAGGTTTATCAATTACCTTTTATTTGAAAACCATTTAAGGTAAGACAAAACATCTTTTTAAACTTGAAGCTTTAGTAACATCAAAATGTATTTGAGTTTGATAATAGAGGTCTAACACGAACACAGTTCTATGATGTAACTTATTGCGTTATTTTATTTGAATATAAAGCCAATAAGTTTTTATATAATAACACAAGTTGATGTGGAACCCACATCTTCAATCTTAGATTATGCCATCGAACATCATCCTCTACCTTCAGCATTGGCTTCTGCATTCAGCTATTGGCCTTGCCTTTCTACATTGGCATTTGACTTCTACCATTTGCCTTTGCTTTTTGGTCTTTGGTGTAGCGTTCAACATTCGTGAGTTTTGGTGCATATAACATAGCTTTAGTACCAACAACAACACACTCCTTTAAACAAGATGGTTATCATTTTTGAGATGTTGAAGCTCAATGTTTGGATAAGGAGCTCAACTCCAACACTCACCGCTTATTAAGGAAACGACGGAATACAGTCTCCATCCATTTGCTATGGTCAACATTAGTGATGGCGATGGTTGAGACTGGTCTTTTCTCACGTACAATGATCGTCATCCATATAGAGATTGGCTAAGATCAGTCTTGTCAAGACACAATGGCCACCACTTGTAAAGATGGTGGCTTAGATCAATCTTCATCCACTTCGAACCGTCGTCACTCGCGAAAAGGGTTGCTAAGACATGTGTTTTTTTGTAGTGGTTTTCATTTGTGAAAAAGCAAGTGGGATTAGTCTTCATTCAGCTCCAACACCTGCCATCCGTGGAGATGATGATTGAGACCAGTCTTTAATCAGTTGAAGCGGTCACCATGTATGCGGGGGAAGACTAAGGCCAGGCTTCATTCAACTCTATTAACTGAACTCTACCTTTGGCCTCAGTATCCGTCTTTGACCATTGGCTTATGCCATCGGCCTTAAGTGCATACATTTGACCATTGGCCTTTAGTGCCTACATTTGGCCATCGGCCTTTGGCGCACATAAAACAATTTCAGTACCAATGGTGATCATAGTTGCATCTATGTCCTTTTTATTCAAGATGGTTATCATTTTTTGAGGTTGGAGCCTAATGTTTTGATAGGAGCTGTCATTTGCAACGGCTAAAGCTAGTCTTCATTCATTTGCAACGGTCACCTTTTGTGATGAGAATGGCTTACGTGGTTTCATTATACACATGCAATGGTCGCTATCCACAAAGAGGATGATTGAAAGCTGAATGTCAATTTGCTTTGATGGGCATCCATTGAGAGGATTTGGCCTTCTGAAGAAACCAACCTCCTTTTTTGCCACCAATAGCTTGCCTTCATATTTGCTGCATCAAAGTTCTTGCATTTGGAATGTTTGCTCAAAACATCAACTTTAGATATTTACCATCATCATCGAATTTATCACTTAAGCTTCGACCTTAGTATCATGACTTCGGCCTCAACCTCACAATCCCCCTCGAAATGCGACCTTTAGAATTGTAGCACCATGGTTATCATCTTCACTTAGTTTCTCGAAAATTTTACCATCGGCCTCGTACTTTCACACACCCCTTGAACTCTTAACACGATTTTGTATTGTTGCTCTGAAATGTCAAACCTGTCTCATAATCTCAGTTTCTCCTCAAATTACTATCTTCATATATTGGATTTTAGCATGCCCTTGGAACTATGGCCTTCTTAAAAAGATGACAAACCTTTAGATTTCTCGCTGCACATTATTACCCCTGTCACCAGGTTTTCGCATCCGCCTTTGATTTTTTGCCTCGTTAAAAAGCAGAAGAGCTTTCAAATTTTGGATTCAAAAGGAATGTATGCCTACGAAGACTGTTACTAGTGGTACTATTACTTAAACATTGATTAGCTAGGCAATAATAATGTATAAGACCGGGTTAGATGAGCTAAAGCATTTCTTTGTCTGATGGTAAATTTCAGTTCCACAAAGTAATGTCTTTCACATAAAGTACACATTCAAATAAAAACAAGAAATCTTCAATACATAATGTTAACACCTTAAAGTACATTTAATATAAAAACGTAGAATAGCTGAATAGAAAATAGAAAACTAAACAATACACTGATCGGGAAAAGCCAAACTTACGTCGAGAAAGACAAATAAAATATACCCTTTTACCACTTGGATTTACTGGGCACGGTGACAAAATATTGACGAGTGCAATATGTATATGTGCATGTCCAAATAATGATATTATCAGAGATCCAACATGATATTTGCTATCATATTACAATATAGTGCATTTTTTACTGTCATTTATTTATAGAATTGCACGGTAGACCTACTTAGAATGATTTATGATATTAAACAACTTTGTAATTTCAAATGGTGGGTTTGTAAGTATTAATTCCATGCCACCACAAGCACCCATAAAATATGCATTCAAAATAAAACTTTTACTCCGTACTATACTTACAAAATGGGTGATGTGTGGTAAATCTATACTAAGAAGAACATTAGAGACAATCGAATAGTTTGTGAAAATATTAAATTTAACCTCAAATCCCACCTTTACCTATTGAGTTGAGAGTCATTTGAGTGTTTCATAAATATCATTATCCTATTTATTGTAATTATTACGGTACATTATTTTTATTTTTATAAAACTTGATCACAAATTCACATTCACAATATCAACTACGTA